CAGATCAGCGTCCAAAAAGTACAGAACGGCAGGCAGTCTCAGGGTCAGGGCAGGCAGAGGTCAATAATCCAGGGTGGTGTGACAGGAGACAAAGGGCTGTGAGACATGAGTTTGATCCTAGACACATGAAAAGTGGGATGTATACGGAGGGTACGGGGCAACAGAAGACGAACAGCAGAGGACCTAATGATCTTGGAGATGGGGAAAGGGGAAAGGGCCGATAAACGGGGGGGGAAAGTTTGCGGGACTCCACCCGGAGAGGCAGATCACGGGTGGACAGCCATACCTTCTGCCTGAGACGATACCGGGGAGATGGGGTCCGGTGGCGGTCCGCTTGTCATCGATACCTGGAGGTGGGAGGAGGTGCTCTTATTCTCCATGGACTTTACAGTGTCCCAATTTTTTTGGGAGTTAGTGCTACAGGATGCAAATTTCTGTTTGAAAAAGCTAGCCTTTGCTTTCCTAACTGCTTGTGTATATTGGTTCCTAACTTCCCTGAAAAGTTGCATATCGCTGGGGCTATTCGATGCTAATGCAGTACGCCACAGGATGTTTTTGTGCTGGTCAAGGGCAGTCAAGTCTGAGGAGAACCAGGGGCTATATCTGTTCTTAGTTCTGAATTTTTTGAATGGGGCATGCTTATTTAAGATTGAGAGGAAAGCACTTTTAAAGAACAACCAGGCATCCTCTACTGACGGAATGAGATCGATATCCATCCAGGATACCTGGGCCAGGTCAATTAGGAAGGCCTGCTCGCCAAAGTGTTTTAGGGAGCATTTGACAGTGATGAGGGGTGGTCATTTGACCGCAGACACGTTACGGACGCAGGCAATAAGGCAGTGATCTCTGAGATCCTGGTTGAAGACAGCGGAGGTGTATTTAGAGGGTAAGTTAGTCAGGATGATATCTATGAGGGTGCCCATGTTTACGGATTTAGGGTTGTACCTGGTAGGTTCCTTGATAATTTGTGTGAGATTGAGGGCATCTAGTTTGGATTGTAGGATGGCCGGGGTGTTAAGCATATCCCAGTTTAGGTCACCAAGCAGTACGAACTCTGAGGATAAATGGGGGGCAATCAATTCACATATGGTGTCCAGGGCACAGCTGGGGGCTGAGGGGGGGCTGTAGCAAGCGGCAACAGTGAGAGACTTATTTCTGGAAAGGTGGATTTTTAGAAGTAGGAGCTCAAACTGTTTGGGCACAGACCTGGATAGTATGATAGAGCTCTGCAGGCTATCTCTACAGTAGATTGAATCTCCACGCCCTTTGGCAGTTCTATCTAGACAGAAAATGTTATAGTTGGGGATGGACATTTCTGAATTTTTGGTGGCCTTCCTAAGCCAGGATTCAGACACTGCTAGAACATCAGGGTTGGTGGAGTGTGCTAACGCAGTGAATAACTCAAATTTAGGAAGGAGGCTTCTGATGTTAACGTGCAGAAAACCAAGGCTTTTACCGTTACAGAAGTCAACAAATGATAACTCCTGGGGAGTAGGAGTGATACTGGGGGCTGCAGGGCCTGGTTAGCCTCTACATCACCAGAGGAACAGAGGAGGACTAGAATAAGGATACGGCTAAAGGCTTTAAGAACTGGTCTTCTAGTGCGTTGGGTACAGAGAATAAAGGGGGCAGATTTCCGGGCGTTGTAGAATAGATTCAGGGCATTATGTACAGACAAGGATATGGAAGGATATGAGTATAGTGGAGGTAAACCTAAGCGTTGGGTACCAATGAAAGCGAGAGCATCACTGGAGGCACCGACTGAGCCGGTCTCGGCGTGTATGGAGGGTGGAACAAAGGAGCTATTTGAGGCAGTTTGAGAATGACTTGGGGTTCTATATTGAAATTGGATAATAAGAACTAACTGGAACAGCAATAGGCAAGGCATATTGACATGGGAGAGAGGCATAAAGCAATCACAGGTGTTATTCGAGATAGCTAAGACAACAACTGGTAATGGCGATGAAAGTTTGGGCTGAGGCTAAACAGATAAACAGGACAGGGTACCGTGTAAAGGAACAGTCCAGCAGGCATCAGCTGTGTAGCTGAGTGATCATAAGGTCCAGTGAACAGCAATATGTGAGTCCGAGAGCAGTTCGAATTGGTGCTAAAGCACAACGAGCAGGAAGCACGGCTGTTGTTTGCGTGTGCTAGCGGGCCGGGGCTAGCAGATGGATCTTCGTGGTCGTCGCAATGGGAAGCCTGTTGAAACCACAGACGATTACGTCGGCAGACCAGTCGTGATGGATCGGCGGGGCTCCGTGTCGACTCTAGGAGGTCCCGTCCGGTTGACAGAGAGGTAGATAGCCGGGAGATGTGCCTGACTCGAGGCTAGCTCAAGGCTGATTAGCCAACAACAACATCCATTTGGTTGCAGCTAGCTAGTTGCGATGATCAGGTGTTAAAGGTCCAGTGATTTAGTGATTCCGGCAGAAAATCCGATCTGTTCTGGGTCGATATCGCGCTGTGCAGACAGTGCAGACTGGCCGATAATAGTCCAGGCTAGAGCTGGCTGGTAGGTAGGTAGTGCAGGCCACCGACAATGGTGAAAAGACGCTAACGGTGGCTAATAGCCAGTAGCTAGTTAGCTGGCTACTCCCATCTGGTAGACAAAGAGGTAGATAGCCGGGATATGGGCCTGGCTCAAGGCTTACTGGTGCTTGCTTCGGGGGCAGTGGTGATTAGCCTACAGCAACATCCATTCGGTTGCGGCTAGCTAGTTGCGATCTGGTGTTAGGGTCCAGTGATTCAGTTATTCCGGCAGAAAATCCAATGTTCTGGGTGAAAACCGCTAACGGTGGCTAATAGCAAGTAGCTAGTTAGCTGGCTAGCTAGTTTCAACTGGAGATTCTAGATAAAGGTGAGTAAATAATAGAATCCGTTCCACATTGAGTGAGGCGGGTTGCAGGAAAGTATATTTAGTAGAAGGATAAAAAGTGTGATAGGGAAATATGTACGAAAAATACAAAAGAAATACAAAAAACAGGCTATTTACACGGACACACAACAAAGAACAAGACCGCACTGCTACGCCATCTTGGATCATAGTTAGCTATGTTGACTAGGATGTTACTCTAGCTAATATGGGGACAACGATGTAGGCTGTGGGTAGCGGTTATGACATGGTTTGGCTTGGAAAGGTTTTTTCGCCTGGTCACATACAGCTGATGTGTTGTTCATTGAAGTCCACAAACGAAGGGACAAGGTGAGAGGAGGAGAGTGCATAGAGGCAAGAAGGAATACAACGTGGCTGCTATGAAAGTGAACTGTGTTTATGCATGATCAGGGGCTTATTCATTCCGCCGATTCTGTTGAAAACGTTTCTTAAACGGAAGCAAACAAACGGGGATAAAAATACCATCATTTGTCCAATAGAAACTCTTGTTTGCAACTGTTGGACTAGTGATTACACCCTAGATAAGCTAGAAGCAGGCAAGCGTGTGCAAGGCGGTATTGAATGTGTCACTGTCTGTCATCTCAATGTTTTATCTCGACCTGTGTGCACCTACGTTGTAAACTTTCATTCATAGGCTTTGATGTAGCAACCTCATGATGGGCATAGGAAAAATTTGAGTATAATTTAGTAGCCTAAACCTATTGATGTTACATTGAATTGGGTGAATTGAATAAGAATGACAGTCATCCAACATGCTGTAATAGAAATAAGGCAAAGCTCATAAAAAAATAAAAAATATCGTCCTCCTTCATCATAAACGTCACTGCTGTAGGTCTGTCTGATACCTTTTCGTTGTCACAGCCTAAATACCAATCACCAAACGAGGGGACTAATGCGATGGTGGATTAAATATACTTTAGTACATGCTGGCAAAAGGATGCATTCTGCAATAATAGGGACGGAAGTAACAGCAAACTAATTTTGTTGACACCATTGTTCATAAAACAACGCTACGGTGCTGCTCTTTTTACAGTTTTATAAATTTGCCGGAGAACATTCTCGCTCTGCATTCAGCTCCACGCTAATCTTGAGGGGCGTTTCTTTAAAACATGCATCCAATCCCCTTGTTCCATTACATAACTAGACCAATCATATGCCTCAATGTGCCACGGTGCTGGGGCCAAACACGACAATGATATAGGTTCTGCTCGTGATGTTAAATTGCAGGCGCAGATGCTCCGATTTCAAAACGATTTGGAGCACAGTTGAAAAGTTAACACGCTGACTATTCAATGAACTAAGTAGAAAAATAAAAGCAGTACTTTTCAATGCGTGAGATATAAGAGGTGTGCCGTGGGAGCGTGAGAAGAGGGTCAAATGCGTGTCTCACTGCCAATGTGTGAGAGTTGGCGGCTCTGCATCTATAACAATGCGCTAATGATTTCGCCTACATAGAAAATGTGCTCTCTCATCAGGACACTGTTGTTCAGAGGAGCAAGCCGCTTACACAATCACTTCAAACTGAAACTGAAAGGCTGCAAACTAGCTGCATTTCGTTTAGTTTGACCTGTTTTCTATTGACATTTCTTTGTATATAGCCATAGAAATGATGCCAGCTGATTCATGATTTCGACTGGCAGAGAAAAGGTGCCCTCCTGTCAGTCTCATCCCGAACCCTACACAGTTCATTACTATGAGACAGCTGGAGGTCGAATTTCAAAACTGAAACAATGTTGCAAATGTCAGAGACAGACAGCAAGGTTTATACAAATCTCTGCTATTGAAAACCAGTTGCTAGTCTAAAAGAAACGGGTGATAATGTCAAGATGCTTTTTACAGTGGAGATCAAGTTTATAAATTGTCTGCCTGGGTTGATGAGACAGTGGATTGCGCAGTGAGATGGAATAGAGTAAATAGGCATTTCAAATTCATAGCTTTAGCCGGTGGTAATTTGTGGAACAGAAACTGGCTGGAATGCGGTTTTAACCAATCAGCGTCCAGGATTAGACCCACCCGTTGTATAATGTTTGCATATCCCGTAGCTACATCCTGACGCTTTCTATATGTGATCTGTTGTGTACTGTAGGCTCAGGCAGACTGTCAGGAGTACGACGTGAACCAGGTGCTCTGGCATTGTCTTCTCAGTTGGTACTGCGTACAAAACGATGTCTGCCAGCTCTCCCAAGTGGCACACCACCTCATCCTGCTGAGAGACGAGCTGCAGAAAGACAACTGGTTGGTTTGGGCTGTGTATTGTAATCTTGTTCTCCAACAGTCAAACTTTTCATTAGTGCAACATTAGTGTAGGCTACATAACTCATACATTAGTTCATACATATCTCATGATGTATCATTCTTCATAAATGGATGAATGTTTATTTTATACCAGTATCAAGTCATAAAGACTTGTGTAATCATCCAAATCAAAGTGTTTTATTCTAAATCCTTTAAATTAATTAATTTATTAAATCTATTTTAAATCCAGGGTGGACTGTGCTTTGGGATTAATGGTTCTGGGTGAGGCTGCAAAGTCCAGCTTGTTGTGCCTTCAGATGTTGATGAGTCTCCACATCAACCCAAAGACAGAGCAGGATGGGATTATAGAAGAAAACGTAAAGCTATCAACTGCCATACATATTATGGGCTGGTTACCCAGACAAAGATTAAGCCTAGTCCAAGACTAAAAGTCATTTTAACTGGAGATTCTCCATTGAGCATGCCTTTTTAGCCCAGGTCTAGGCTTAATCTGGTTCTGGGAAAGCGGGCCCATATCCACACACTAAATTAACTTCTCTCTCTCTCTCTCTTTTCATTTCTTTCATTCGCGCTAAAAGTATGCCATCCTCTTTTCCAGGAAGGTATGTCTCAGAGTGGTTGCTGGCCATGGCAGTTGGAACACATCTATACCACTGTGTTAGCAGACATATGCCAGCATAGCAGCAATGCAGAGATACAGAAAACAGCTCTGCTGGGCAGTCAAACCCCTCCAGGATATCACAATACTGATGGACTGCTTAAACTTCTGAACCACTGTAAGTCCAGGAAGTGTGGAGACAGATGGAGATAGTGGGAAAAACACTGAAACATGAGCATTGTACAAAAATACCCACATCTTGGTTTTGGTTTGTGAGTGTAATAGATTTTTCGTCATCTTCAGATTTTATGCCTATATGACTTATTAGCCTAAACTTCCATGACATACATTATAGTTTCATGCAAGAGTACATACCAATGAAACAGCTTGGGTTAGCCATTATCTTTACACTAAAAGTCTAAAGCAGTAATTCCCTATCCTGGTCTCCAGTTTGTCAGGGTTTTCACTGAGTGTGGTGTCATCTGTTCATTCGCTAGCTGGCGGCGAGGCCTGGCAGCTGCGCTACAGTGCTGTTCAGGCTTTGGTGTGCGTATGCCGAGGGCTCAGCGGAGCTGTGTTACAGGAGGGGCTGAGGAATGTGGCCTGGATCACTCTGCAGGAACACCTGTGCCAAGAGACAGACCAGAGAGTCGCAGACGCCGCCAGGGTTATAGAGGTACTGAGTTGTTTATGATATCTCTAAGGTCCAGATATTTTCCTAGTCAGGTCACGTGGTCAGGAAAAACACTGGGCCTTATTTATCTCAAATGTCAACTTAATCTCAAAGAAAATAGATGTTTTTGACTTTTCATGTACAACTGCTGTTTTGTCACAACTGCTTTTCCCTTTACAAAGCATTGTTTAAAGCACAAATATATCTGCTTACCAGGTTAGAGCTGAATAACGTCATTAGGAAAATCCTGAAAGTCCCAATTTGTCACAGTCTGTAGTATGGAAGATTCTGGAAACTATTATCAATTACCTGTATACTGAGAGGATTCACTCTTAAAATCCAAACAGAATCAACAACTTGGCTTCTTATTCACACATTTATTATTAGGTGAAATATAATTTGCATCAGAATAATTTAAAACTGGTTCTTACTGCTGATCGATTTATGGATCCAATTAAAGATTAGCATATTTTATCATTACTGTGGTTTATACCATGGCATTGTTGAATACTCTGTCCAAGTTTTTGCTAATTAAAGGCACAACTGCTAACATGACTAACTTATTGATTAGATTTTTAAAACATAAGTTCAGGTACTGCAATACATATGTGCTATTTTATTTGTTTCCTAGGCTGAAATGAATGTTCCAGAGAGCAGTTTTCTCAGTGAGGGAGGGAAGCCATCATCATCTCAACTGATCACCTGGAGGTTAGCATGTACTCTCTCTCAGCTCTACCTGCCCCCCACGCCTCTCCAGCTCATCCCCCACACCAAGGCCAAGAAGGAACCACCACCTCCCTCCAACAGGCCTAGGCTGGAAGCCTCTCCTCCAAGGCCTAAAGAAACACTCCCTGGCCCTGCCAGTAAGACACAGCATCCAACCAGAGATCAAGAGGAATGTCACAGTGCCCAGGGGTAAGAGACCATGGTCAAATCTTTAGGCATTGGTGTGAAAAAGGAAACAGATTTAGGCGAAATTGTTCTATGTTATGACTACAATACTTTATGTAACTATGGAAAATAAATTAAATGTAATTTAACATAATATTATTACATTTATTCTAGAAAAAGTAAGACACATCAAACTTACATGGACTTCAATGCACGGACAGATATTGACTTGATGAGAGTTGTGGAGGACCAGGTGAGAGCATTACATTTAGGTATACATGAAAAGTGATTCAAGCAAGGCATTACAAACTTGATATATGTGGATTACAATTATGAATGTCAATTTGTATTGATAATGTCCCTTGCATTAATAGAGATGCCAAAAACAAATCATGGAGCATCAAAATTAGAAATTAATTTCCTCCTTTTCCAGTGTGTGTTATGTGTTCCTTATGGTGGCATTGTGCCTGGGAATATACCCTGATTGCTTTTTGAGGATTTTCTCTTGCTAAAAGCATATTAGCCACCCCTTACTGTACATACTGTAGTATATTAGCAGTGATAGCTTAATCAAAGTCATTGTAATTTCTGATGGTGCTTGAAAATAACTATGGTTGGGATGGAAATTCAAGTAAATTGTATTTTCATGTCACTACAGTGGCAAAAAGAACTACAGATCAAAATGGCAGAGGAGGAAAATGCTGAAAAGGATGAATTAGAGAAAGTACAGAAGGAAAAAGAGGAACAATTCAAAGAGATTATGAGGAGGCGGATGGAAAAAGTCAAGAAGGACACCAAACCATATGAGCTGCCAGGATGTAAACAAACGGGAGGTCAAATCTGAATGAAGCATGACTTCACGTAAAGAGACATAAATGACTTGTGCCATGCTCTTTGTTGTAATACTGATCCCAAAACATTTTACCATGGTGATTGCATCTAGTATTATTTTGGAGGGAATAGTGTCTTGCATACAACAAGTGCAAATAGTTTTATGCACTTTATTTCATTTAATTGGCAAACGTAACTTGGGTTTCATCCTTTTTTAATCTCACATTATATTTACAGAAAGATAGAAAATTAGACAAAATGTGACTCTCAACAAGTAACATTGGTAGAAAGAGATTTGCACATAACACCCACCCCTGATGCTGATTTTTAAAGATAGACAATACAATTGAAATTCTATACCAAGTAAAGTATATTGTTTCTCAAATATGCTTTTGATTTCAAATCATCCCAGACCAGCTTCTGTCTTGAAGTTGACTTTCGTCTCTCATAAAGGAGATACTTAAAATAATTGATCATTTAATCAGATGTGATAGAACTATTAAACTAGCTTTGACATTCCCATCGACATTCAAACATTACGGAACAATGGTTTCCACATTCATTTACATTGACACAAACAGACGTTAACTTTTGTTAGCAACCAATGTCACAGGAATCCTTCTTATTCCTTACACTTAACAGTGAAGGTGCAATTCTTTGACCACCCTATTAGCTAGGCATGCTGCCGTATCACACTGAAGATACGCTCACCTCAAAACACCCCAGGAAATGTAAGGTAACATTGTAAACATTGTTACCAGAAGGTTTGCGTTTCCTTGGAACTTTACAAAGGTGGTCAAAACGTAAAATAGAAACCCATAGCAACATGTTGAAGTGGATTTGAAAATGGCTCAGTCAGGGTACCAGTTTAAGACATTGCATTTGGTACCCAAGATCACAAGAAAGAAAAGAACAAAACAAAAATAGTATGCGCAAACATGACAGGGTTTGTGACCTTTGGCATGTGTCATATGCTTAAGCAAGTAGTTGTACGCTTTTGGCCATAGTAACAAAATGTGTCACAATAATTTAATGACCAACTATTGTAGATTTAGAATATTTGAATAATTCAGATGGATATTATTAGCAGAAAGGGGGGATTGCTGCATATACTGTATCAATGGTGAGTTGGATCAGTTGCGTAGTTTGATATCTAGGCTGTAGGCCCCAATTCAATCAATCGCAGATAATAATCAACCACACTGAGGGGGCGGTTTCCCGGACACAGATTAAGCCTAGACTAAAAAGCATTTATGATGCAGAATTTCCATTGAAAGTGCTTTCTAATCCAGGAATAGGCTTATTCCATGGAAAACCGGCCTTGAAAGTTCACTCATAATGTTGACACTACAGGTGTGTTTTTGCATCAATATCCAATTATGACAATTTCCAAGAGAGGAGCAGCTTGTGGGGTGTGTCTGTTTTCACACCAACACCTCAATGCAGTGTGAACATTCTAAGTCAACTCGCAGTGAAGTTTTCCTTTACCTGCAATTGACTGAATGGCTTTATGATTGATACACCCTTGCAAATGTCTTGAACAAAACATCTGACTGGTGTGCTTTACCAAGAGGAGCTTCACAAAACAACAGTAGTGGCTTACGTGAGGACATTACACATCTCTGTTAAAGCAGTAGATCGAGTGCACTGAGGTTATCATAAAAAAAGGGATCACTCATAACAATACATATATGAAGGTCACAATAACAGACCCATATCAATTAATGTAATGCCACATGTCAATCTTGTGACAGCAACTATTAACTGCATTCATTTTGCATCGATAGCAAATTGTAAGTGACAATTTTCTCCCAAGAACAACATATAAAGATAGGTACATAGGGCTCATTATAAAATAGAGAAATAAGGCACATCTTTGCTCTTTGGAACAACAGAAATAACTTGCAATTAACGATATATCACATAGAAATGTTGACCGGTGTAAAATATAAAATTCATATTTTTTCAGGCACGCCAAGGACATGAAGTAATATTCACTATGATTGAAGCCATACCTTGGTCAAAACAAATAATCACATTGTACAAAATCATATTTGTGGAAAAGGAAATTTGAATGTGTGGTCTTCCCAATAGAGTGAGTTCAAGTGAAATTGCAACACGAACGTTCCCAACACATACAGAACCTGAGACTGCAGGATAACTAGGGATACTGGACTCAAACAATATAATATTGCACTTTTAGAATTAAGCTTAAACAAGTTCCATTTCCTTCTCCTCCTGCCTCTCTCTTTCCTTCTCCACCTCTCTCCTTCCTTCTCATCCTCCCTCTCTTCTTCCTAATCCTCTTCCCTCTCTCCCTTCCTCTTCCCCTCCTTCTGTCTGTTCTAAGGATGTCCTATGTATTCAGGCTTCGGCATAGCCTTGCTGACAATGTTTTTCGGCACAGGAACAGATGCCGGATATTGGGCATGTGCCGTGGCAGTCACCGACTAGGCTCTCTGGCCAGCGCTCATGTCAGCTGCACACGGTATGTGCTGATCTCCATTGGTTTAAGGCCGATTTCCTCTTGGCTCGACCCTTCCTCAGGCGTGTGCATCAGAGTCAGAGACGCAGGGGTGATGCTCTGGAATTTCAGTTCAGAAAACAGCTTGTCCATGCGGATCTGTGCAAGAACCAAACATGAACAATGGCGTTATACCCACATGTTTGAATAGTAAAACCCATTATGAAAGGGGTTGATGGATAGGTTCAATAAAAACATTTGACACCTGCTATGATCATGATGAAATATCCTTTCCTTTTAGAAGCTATTAACATAACTGGACACTTAACAGGCTTATTAAGGATATTAAGATTAAGTGCCTGGGTCAACAAAGATTTCATCATCTACTCTAGCCATTTTCTAATGAACACACACTTGGTCATAACAGCCTTGATTTTCCTCTTGGAGAGAGATAAGTATTCACTTAAACTGATTATGGTTGCATTGTAATAGTTATCATGACATCAGAATAGGAGGAAATGTAATGAAAGGTATTTCCTGGGAATTTCCTTCCTCACAGCACATTTTCTGTGGCAAGTGACCTCTTGAGCCGTTTTGCTAGGGGAAGTTCATTTCTGTAAAAAAATGATGTTCAAAGACCAATGGTACTACTAGCTGCTTGAATAAAGAGCATTGCGTGCAACCCTCATTTTAACCCTCAGGTTACAATTCTCTTTAATCACTAATGAATAAAGAGTGTTTGGTGATAACTTTAATTTTGGTGTGTGTATACGTGTGTGTGTTCCTGTGTGTGCTGGCGTGTGTGTGGCAGGTCTTACCTTCCCCTGCGTGGTGGCACACAGTAGCCCTGTGTTCCTATTCGAGAAGGCACAGTCAAAGCCTTTTCTGTGCAGAATCAAAGCCGCCTCGTTCGACGGGCCACCCCCTTCCTCCTGTAAGGCCAGTGAGAAATGCTTCAGTCCCAATAAAGACCCCTCCTGTCCCCCTCCTCAGCCTAAACACTGGGGCAATTATAGAGACCACCCTTTCACAAGTCAGCTGCATTTCCACAGCCATGTTCGAGGTTTACTGCAGTAACAAGCACAAGACAATTTCATCCCCCTTTCAGAAACATTTTTTTTTACATTCACAGTCCCTGGCTGAGTACATGGAGATGCCACAGTGCATAATAAGTGTGGTAGTAGGAGCGGCAGGGGTGTCACCATGTGAGTATTCGTATAAATTAGTACAAAGCCCTCGTCTAAAACACATTTAATGGTTCTGCACGTCTCCTCTTTTGATTTGTTCTTAGAGTCAAATTGGATGTCCGAGCATGTCTTTGCAATCGATAATTGAGCAAATTGGTTGGCAGATTCCGGAACAATTAGCTTGATCTTGATAGACGGCGGTATCATCAGAGTTAATGGGCTATGCAGCAACAAAGAGGAGACCATAGAAGACTTACAACATACAGATGTAGTGTATTTACAGAGATGATATAAGGAAATGAATGGAGAGCCCCTTGGAGGAGTGCTGAGTGTGTGTGTGTTTTGTCCTAACAAGCAATTAAGACAGTATTCCATACTGCCAGGATAATCAATACAGTCAGGGATGAGCTTAATCACATTAAAGCCAATGACTATGAGAACACAGCGGTACAGTCATCACTTTAGAAAACTTGGTAACTCTTTGTAAGGAGTTGCTCCTATGTAGTAACACTGTAATTACTGTAGCAACAACATTGTATTAACATGTTACATAGTAATTCATTATTTGAATACGGGTAGCTAATGATGTGAGCGTTTATTCATGTCTCAACGCCATGAATATGCATGTACAAAGCAATGATTAAATCACTACGTAACAACATGTTAATGTATTGTAATTAAAGCATTACTACACAGGTAAAATAGCAACAGAATGTAAGGCTTGTTGTGGCCTTATGCTCCACAGGGAGAAAAGAGAAGAAAGTATTATGTAGCATTACAAAAATCCTTACCTTGGACTGGATGGTGCGTAGGTTGACCATGTGGACATCACAGGGCAGTGATGAGGCCAGCGGGTTTAAGGGGGATAGAGACAGGGACTCTGCCTCCGTGCTCACAGCCATGGAGATCAGAGGGTGGTTCAGGTACAGCGACGACACGTGACTCAGCAGAGACGGGTAGCTGAGGGGCGAGGGTTTCTCCCCCTGGAAATATCAAAGCAGGGACAGGAACGGGTTAGGACAATACTCTGGTGCAAAAGTAATTGGCAAAAGAGAGGATTGATCATAATATAATATATGACAATGTTTTAACCCTAATCGTCTTAATCAAGTCTCCATTGTCGACCTTCAAAAGTCAATGAACTTTAGTAGAACTACAAACTACAGTAACTATGAAAATGACAAAATTGCTTCAAACTCCTGGTATTAGTACCCCATCGGTCTTGGCCCTCTTCTCCAGCAGCAGGCGGAAGGAGCTGGCGGTAACTTTGTTGTCCAGGACGCCCTGGCCCAGCCCGCGGTTATCATCCTGGTTCAGCCGACGGTCCATGATCACCTCCAATTGGCCTGGAGGGGAAAAGGTAAAAGTTGATCTATTTCAATATCACGTTGCCTTCTGTTCACATAACAGAAATGTATCTGTAGGGCCTACATTTAAAGCTTGGCAAGAAACAGCACGATAGAAACTGCACTCATTTTAATATCACATCCTGGTGCCAAAATAGTAGATTACATTATGTACTGTACAGATGGGAATCTTAGAACCGAGCAGGGATGTCATCTTTCCTGGAGACTTAAAGTACTGATGCCCTCCTTCCAATAGACAACAGAAAACAAATCCCCCGGCCTGCACTCACCACTCTTGAGGCTGGCGGAGCCCAGGGACTGTGCGGTGAGCAGGGTCAGTCTGGTGCCGGAGTCCTGAAGGTAGGCCATACTGGTCATGGGGTAGAAGTTTGCCTGGAGGGGAAGCTTGGCCATGGTTCTTCTAGGCTGGATCTGCGAGAAAATCACATCAAAGATGGTGGATAAATGAAGATGTGCTGACCAGCTGGCAAGTGTCTTCACCAACATTTTCAACCTCTCCCTGACCCGGTCAGTAATACCTACATGTTTCAAGCAGACCACCCTGTGCCCAAGAATGCCAAGGTAACCTGTCTAAATGACTATTGCCCGTAGCACTCACATCTGTAGCCATGAAATGCTTTGAAAGGCTGGTCATGGCTCACATCAGCACCATCATCCCAGACACCCTGGACCCACTCCAATTCGCATAACGCCCAAACAGATCCATAGATGACGCAATCTCTATTGCTCTCCACACTGCCCTCTCTCACATGGACAAGAGGAACACCTATGTGAGAATGCTGTTCATTGACTACAGCTCGGCGTTCAACACCATAGTGCCTTCCAAGCTCATCACTAAGCTCACAACCCTGGGACTGAACTCCTTCTTCTGCAACTGGATCCTGGACTTCCTGACCGGCCGCCCCCAGGTGGTGAGGGTAGGCAACAAGACAGCCGCCGTGCTGACCCTCAACACGGGTGCGTGCTTAGTCCCCCCCTGTACTCCCTGTTCACCCACAACTGCGTGGCCGCGCACTACTCCAACACCATCATTAAGTTTGCTGACAACACAACAGTGGTAGGCCTGATCACCGACGACGATGAGACAGCCTATAGGGAGGATGTCAGTATGTTAGTGACCTGGCAGTGTGGTGCCAGGACAACAACTTTTCCCTCAACGTCAGCAAGACAAAGGAGCTGATCATGGACTACAGGAAACGGAGGGCCGAGCACGCCCCCATCCACATCGACTGGGCTTTAGTGGAGCGGGTCCAGACCTTCAAGTTCCTTGGTATCACGACAATGCCTCTTCCCCCTCAGGAGGCTGAAAGGATTTGTCATGGGCCCTCAGATCCTGAAAAACTTCTATTGCACCATTGAAAGCATCTTGACTGGCTGCATCACCGCTTAGTATGGCAACTGCTTGGCATCCGACCGCAAGGCGCTACAGAGGGTAGTGCATACGGCCCAGCACATCACTGGGGCCGAGCTCCCTGCCATCCAGGACCTCTATACCAGGGGGTGTCAGAGGAAGGCCCTAAAAATGGTCAAAGACTCCAGCCACCCAAGTCATAGACTGTTCTCTCTGCTACCGCACGGCAAACGGTACCGATGCACCAAGTCTGGAACCGACAGGACCCTGAACAGCTTCTACCCCCAAGCCATAAGACTGCTAAATAGTTAACTAAATAGCTACCTGCATTGACCCTTTTTGCACTAACTCTTTTGACTCATCACATATGGTGCTGCTACTGTTTATTATCTATCCTGTTGCCTAGTCACTTTACCCCTACCTATATGTACATATTTACCTCAATTCCTTCGTACCCCTTCACATCGACTCGATATTTAAATTTTACGTCATTTAGCAGACGCTCTTATCCAGAGCGACTTACAGGAGCAATTAGGGTTAAGTGCCTTGCTCAAGGGCACAGACAGATTTTTCACCTAGTCGGCTCGGGGATTAGAACCAGCGACCTTTTGGTTACTGGCACAACGCTCTTAACCACTAAGCTACCTACTACTGGTACCCTATGTATATAGCCAAGTTATCGTTACTCATTGTGTATTTATTTATTGTGTTATCATTTTTCTATTTCTCTCTCTGCATTGTTGGGAAGGGCTTGTAAGTAAGCATTTCACTGTTAGTCTTCACCTGTTGTTTACGAAGCATGTGACAAATACGATTTGATTTGATGACATTTACCATTGAAAGAAATTGTCACAGTTACGGTCTGCTTAACCTCTTAATGATCTGACCCTTTTTTTCAATTTTCGCCTAAAATGACATACCCAAATCTAACTGCCTGTAGCTCAGGACCTAAAGCAAGGATATGCATATTCTTGATACCATTTGAAAGGAAACACTTTGAAGTTTGTGGAAATGTGAAATTAATGTAGGAGAATATAACACATTAGATCTGGTAAAAGATAATACAAACAAAAATGTTTATTTTATTTTTATTTTGTTATCATCTTTGAAATGCAAGAGAAAGACCACAATATAATATTGCTGTTTAGGTGCAATTTAGATTTGGGCCACTAGATGGCAGCAGTATGTATGCAAAGTTTCAGGTTGATCCTGTGAAGCATTGCAATACTGGACTATTTTGTATCAAGTCTGCCCACATGTGCTGAATTAGTCAATTGATACATAACTTTAGAGAACATACAAAAATGATCTGGTAATACAAAATGTAAGTTTACACACTCCCAGGAATGTCATACATGATGGATCATTAGCTTATACACTAACTTTCACACATCTAGATGGCCAGGCGGGGTGGATGTGGAGCCAGAGACAGCAGGGGCTCAAACTGTAGAACCCAGTTCCTAATTTGAATATAAAAATTGATTTTATCAAACAAAACTATGCTACATTTTATCTCTGGGACCCTTAGGATGACACATCAGAGCAAGATTACTGAATGTAAGTACATTATTTACCTTCAGATGTGAACGTATCAAACCAGTTGCCGTGATCATTTTTGTTGTTGTTGTGCACTCTCAAACAATAGCAATGTCTTTTTTTATTGTAATAGCTACTGTAAATTGGATAGTGCCGTTAGATTAACACAAATGTAAGCTTTCTGCCCCTATATGACATGTCTATGTCCTGGAAAGTTTGCTGTTACTTACAACAGTCATGCTAATCACATTAGCGCACGTTAGCTCAACCGTCCTGTATACGGGACACAGATCCCGTAGAGGTTAAGGGGTGGCTCTCCCATAGGCACCATTGCGATAGCAGCTGGGTCTGATCTGCTTAGTTAGTTGACTAACCAGAAAAAAGGAGCGATTGAGATGTCTCGCTTCCTCTTCCGTCTCTGGTCACATATAAAGGTGATGTTGAGGAACCATGTGACCTGACTAGGAAAACCTCAAGGCCCTTGTTAAAGGCTTCAACAAGGACCCAGAGTTTTTCCTATGAGGGAAAAACTCCTGGCCCCACACATACTGAATCACCAGTGAGCAACTGTGTTGAGTGGGATCTTAAGCCGACCGACTTTGTTTTGACTACAATGAGTACGAGAAGCTCTTCAAGTGGGTTGTTTTTGTTTGTTTGCGTGAAGCGTAGCATTTCGGAGAACAAAATATTTAATCTCTGATGGCAGTAAATCCCTCTTAATCCCTGAAAGTAAGGTCAGACTGCCAAAAACATGCAAATTGAGATTTTGAGGGAAAACACTGCCTCTCTCTAGAATTATGGCAGCGTGTCTAATTGGCAAGGGCGCTCAAACACTGATCTGTCTAAAGATTCTCCCCTGAACAAAATCGAATCGTTTAAATCTGCATTTCACCTTTTGTTTTCAAATCAAAACTTTATGTTATGACAAAATGGGAGACGTCCATGAAATCATTTCTAGGAGTTTGGACATCCAGTTTCTATGTACATTCAAGCTAATGCTACTAAATAGCCATTTGTATCATAGTTAATTGCTCATGTCATTACTGTTGACATGTTCAATGTCCATGCACAATCTCGCATAGAAATCTCCACTTCAGAAGCAAGAAAAGCAGTATTTGCTCTGGTATATATGGCTCTGTTATATTGTGGAGTGTTTTCTCGCAACTGGATAGCTAGAGACTGGGCTGTAATTGTGCATTCCTACTAGAAATTCTAATTAAAATGTTCCACGTGGAACATTTGAATTAGAATGTATACCTTGTGTAAGGTTGCTCTTTGTCAATGTTTTCTTCACTCTATGCATTTGTCTGAGTTATTTTAAATATCAGGGGTTACTGTAGTGCTACATTTCCTTTCAAAGTGGCTTTTTTCATTAAGTAAGCCCTCGAAAAGCTGTGACCGATTTACCTGTACACTTATCCTTCAGTGTGTACAAAATACAATTCTCATTCTCTCATTGAATGATCTGGGGGCAGTGCCTGAGTAGAGAGGGGAGGGGAGGGGAGAGAGAGTGAGTGAAAGAGAGAGTGAGTTCCAGGTCATACAGTAACAGTACCTGGAATCCGTTGAGGTCTGTGAAGAATCGATCCTTGCTGTCCACATCTGATGTTAACCTCATTGTAATTTCACGGTTGAACTCCCCCCTTATATCTACCGAGTTACAGATCTCCACCGCCTGGCCCTCCACACCTATAGAGAGAGAGAGAGAGAGAGAGAACACTAACACAATCACAGAGCATATTCACAGCACATATTTAAAAGCTTCTTTCCTCTTTGGCTTGATTTCAAGGTATTAATTATACTCCTAGTGAGTCTCCGAATACACTTTTTGGAAATACATTTTTTGGGAATACATTTTACATTGTTTGATATAATTTTACATACCTAACTCAATTAATCCACTGGGAGGGAAAAAAATTAACAGTTGAACAAATTTGCCCCAGTTTTTCAGGTGGAAAAAAAATAAACATACCCCCAGAAATAATGCAAAACATGAATAAATATATCTAAGAAGAAAAAACCACAGTTACAGTACATAGACTTTGGGTGAATGCAAAAGCAGTGAAAGTAAATTGGGTCTCAACATTGAGCCATTAAATATTGTAAATACATTAATAGAAGATCAATGGCACAGTGTAGCATTCCAAATGGGTAAATTACAACTCTAGTGATACGTCTTGCAACCTGTATACTGCATCTCTATATACTGTACCCTCAGGTCAAAATATGCAATGAAACCATTCATTAAGTAAAAATCTGCATGCTGGGTCCAATTAAGGCCTGCTTGGCTGTGCGATGACATGCAGCCCTTCAGGGTCTCCTTCTCCTGGTGGGCATGACTGCAGCTTCCTTTTTCTCACCAAGCACGCAACAGAACAACACTAATGTTCTCTACGAAAGCAAGCCATTCAAAAGGTATTGCACTGACTAAACCGTCTCTCTCCCTCTCTCTCTCTCTCTAGACTATGCTAGTAGGCTCACTGAGTGAGTCTTCATGTAGCTCATCTACAGACCGGGTTTTGGATCTTCTCCCATTTCACAGACAAACATAATATTTCAGGGTGTTTTGATCTTTCAAGGTTCTGTTTTTCTGATTTTGATACATGTAGGCTACACGTTCTCATGCATGTATGTACAACTGCTTTCAGTTGTGTCACTGATCAAGGTCTCAATGTATGGAGTCAATTGTAGATAAGCCACGCATGCACGCGCACTCGCACACACACACATTCCATCATTACCTTGAACATTATAGAGGCGTAGAGTGTGCGTCACATGATCGAAGGTAGTAGTGATCTCAGAGAACACAGATCCCTTGGTTACCCGTATCACTGGAGGCCGAGCGGGAGAGTACATCTGGAGGAGCACAGAAAATCAATGGGAATCAAATCACTCATAACACCATCTCCCATCCATCCTCTGCCAATAATACCTCCTACAGAGAGTGTGCTGGTAAGGGAGCACAAATAAGGGATAAAAGAGAGTGAAACTGGGGGAACAGAACTACTCTCTGATTTAGAGTCATTGGGTTAAATGTGGAAGACACATTTCGGTTGAATGCATTCAGTTGTTAACTGTAAGTCACACTGGATAAGAGCGTCTGCTAAATGACTAAAATGTAAATGTAAAATGTGCAGCTGACTAGGTATCTCCTTTCCCTTTACTGTAAGAGCTGAAAGCACTCTCTTCTTTAAAAGGTTTCAGTACAGCTGTAATGATACACGTTGACAACGGAGAATCAATCACGTTTAATAAAGTTGTCGGGTTACCTTGGCTTCCCCGTCGGGCAGGAACAAGTAGGCTCCGCTTTTATCTCGGTTGCTGGTTGTGCCGTACCATGCAAACTCCACCTTGATCTGGTGTTCTGAGCCGTCCTCTTTCAGCTTCAATCTCTGTGGGTGTCAGTCAGAAGAAAGTCAGATTCAATACTTACATCACCATTACATTGACAGCTTGACATCAATAAAGAGAGCTAACAGACTTTATCCTGTGTTGTTGTAGCTGAGGTGGTTTGGTGAACAATGTGATGAGCTTGTGTGATGACTAATTTTGCCTGAGACCTGGACTTGTTTTACTTCCGAGAACTAATGCCTAGGCTTTAGCTCAGAGGAATAATATAGTCTTGTGTCACACAGACGACCCTGGTTTGATACCCTGTCAGTCCCATTGACAGTCTAGAAGTGTAACACATTCCATGCAACCTTTCAGTGCAGGTCACAGTCACTATACACTTTATGACTCTGGTTCAGTGCTAATATTAGAATAAGCTTGAATTATAGTCGCGCAGGTCGGCACGACTATAGTATGGGATTGGTTGAAGCTCAATGTTAAATTCAAATCTCCCTACCATCATATCTAAGCCAATATGACACCAATGTCTATGAAAATTCCAAATCAATTTGATTGGAGGTACAACACACTCCCCGCCTCTCGTCATGATCCGTCCGGCCGTTACCGAGAACCCAGGGTTGTTAGCATTAGGGTTGGCAGACTATTTTTTGCCCAAACCTAGGTCCGATTTTAGACGTCGGATTAAAACGAGGCTACATCGTTCATAAGATGACCATTAGACTTGGCAAAAAGGGACAGGGAGTGTGACGTGTATGTAGTACTAGTGCGCACGTCTTGCTACTACGGAGGAGATAACGGTGGAGAGACCAGCTCTCAAACTCTCAAGGAAGACGTTGTTGCCCTCATCCGTCAGATGCATCCCTACAGTACATCCCAGGGACACACTGCTTAATGGCAGAGACTTGCACATAGGCAGACTTCCCAGCTCTGCAGTTGAATTGTTAAACAAGCAGTTGATTACCCCCTCTCCTGACGTGCACACAAGAGAAGTGGAGCTCTACACCAATCTTCGTGCTGCTGGGAAATCCCCTGCCTGCCTAATGGCCAGGATAGATGCCATTTATACATGTGGGAGTGTGTGCTCTTTTACTGGAGTTGGACTGCTGTGTACAGCATTACTAAGAACATTTGTAGTTAAAGGATTTAGAGCACCTATCCAATGTCAGATTTGTAAATATGTATTCTTAAAAGTGTTTTGTACTTGTCTAATGACTTACAGGTGTTTCTCAGCAGTTTGTCATTTGTCACAGTGTTTGTATCAGGAGTTACCAAAATTGTTATTGACGAGCCACAGGGTTATGCAGGCTTTTTTGTTCAAGCCCAGTGCTACCACACCTGATTCTATTACTCAGATGTTCATAGAGACCTCGCTGTTCATCGATACCTTGAATAGTAGAATCAGGTGTGGTAGAACTGTGCTTGAACAAGAAAGCCTGCATAACCCTGAAGCTCTTCTAGAGCAATTGTGGCCATCCCTGAATTGTATGTACAAAGTTTACTAGCTATATCTGATGAATGTACGTTTGATTGTAAATCTTATATTTTGTAATAACTCACTATTGTTTACAGGTAATTTAGTACTAGGCTTTTCTTCAGTAAACGTTAAAGTACATTTTCATGTAAATAGTTAATGGGTACATACATGTTGATTATTTGTGTATTTTCCAGGATCTTTCTCGATTGTCTTGTTAAAAGAGATCAGGGATTTTTTTCCCAGTTTATTCCATATTGGCTTAAATGGGTCTCTGGTTCTTTGCATCCCTCTGGAAAATCAGCTGTTAATATTAAATAAATACTAATAACTACATTATTTATGTTGTCATTATTGTGTACTTTTGCTTTACTTTTATGGCTGTGTTTTGCTGTATTATAATGTTGAATAATAATGTTGTATAGTCACCTTACAGTGTAAAAACCATGGAAATTAAAAACAAAAAGTATGTTTTAGGTGAGAAGTCGGCATTGGTCTGAAGCCGAAAAAGAAATTCACCTGAGCACCACAATGCCTACTCCACCCATGCTCTACTAAGGTTTTGCAGCAGATATCTTGGACCTACTACAGTAGCTATGTTTGTCCATTTTACTTCCAGCAATGTGTAGGCAGGTTGCTTAGGATTCAAACCTTCTCAAACAGCCTAATTCATACTCTTCAGAGGGATAATATAATTGTCTCCTGAGTGGCGCAGTGGTCTAAGGCGCCGCATCGCAGTGTTAATTGTGCCACTAGAGATCCTGGTTCGAATCCAGGCTCTGTCGCAGCCGGCCGCGACCGGGAGACTCATGGGCGGCGCACAATTGGCCCAGCGTCGTCCAGGGTAGGGGAGGGAATGGCCGGCAGGGATGTAGCTCAGTTGATAGAGCATGGTGTTTGCAACGCCAGGGTTGTGGGTTCGATTCCCACGGGGGGCCAGTATAAAAAAAATATGTAAAAAAATGTATTCACTAACTGTAAGTCGCTCTGGATAAGAGCGTCTGCTAAATGACTAAAATGTAAATGTAATGTAAATGGATAATGGACTTTACAGTGTCCTGCTATTAAAATAATGTATATATATCATTAGGATGTACGTATTTTTAGATATAGGCCTATTGTAAATGTGTATTATTGTATCATCTTTATTGCAAAAATAAATACAAATACACATATAACTTTAAGCTACATAGTCTTTTGACAAAGGTGATAAACTGCCTATTAATCAGCACAGCAGTTGATAACAGGGCCATGTTTGAAAAACAAGTGGTTCTGAGCTTATGTAAATATTACACAGTTAAGCTAACGGTTACAGAAATCAGGAATGCAGACATGCTCTATAGACCTCTATATATATATATATATATGAGTGACTGTGTCGAACACACCACCTCCTGTTCTTATGTTGGGTACCTACTGACCAAAAAACATGTTATGAAATATATATATTTTTCAATTACATGTTTAAGGTTTAAGGAAATACAGGCAGGCACCACATTACTACAATACAAAATAGCTCACTCAATCAAGCCTGATGGTGTTGTAAGTATAAAAGCAAAGCTTGCTTTCATATAATAAAACAAAAGCTTGAAAAGGTAGTGGAATGGGGGTCTTAATGTGGGGTGGGAAGAATGCAATACATTAGCTTGTATGTGGTACAAATCACATTATTCTGGGAGCACCTCCTCTAATGGTATGAATTAGTCTGTTTGAGAAGGTTTGAAGCAACCTGCCTACATATTGTTGGAAGTACAATAGACCAACATAGCTACTGTAGTAGGTCAAAGCTGTGTGCTGGAAAACCTTAGTAGAGCATGGGTGAGGTACGCATTGTGGTGCTCATGTGAAATGCCTTTCTTTTTCGGCTTCAGACCTTCTCACTTAAAACATCGTTTTTTGTTTTTAATTATATAGCACTTTTGCAGGAGTTCTGTGCTGAGCCCTGCTGTGTTGTGAAGTGCTATGCTTTACTAAGCTATGCTGTGCTATGCTTTACTAAGCTATGCTATGCTTTACTAAGCTATGCTATACTTTACTAAGCTATGCTATGCTTTGCTTTACTATGCTATGCTTTACTAAGCTATGCTATGTTATGCTTTACTATGCTATGGTATGCTTTGTTATGCTATGCATGTCTTACCTCCATCAGGCCGGTGGTGGGGGAGCTCCAGACCTGGAGGTGGGGGTTGTGGATGCTGAGGGGGGTGGAGGCGTCCTGGGGGATGTTGACTGTGAAGTGCTTCACGTTGACGGACAGCTCGCCGCTCTGCCTGAAGAAGACGTATTCTGCAGTCTCCGCCCTGCCGCTCGCAGCCTTACCTAACTGGTACACCCCAAGACCCAGCGCTGGCACCTGTGCTATGAACGACAACTGCCCCCAAGGGAAAACACCATAACATGAGATAATGTGAGAAAAAGCATACATGAACATAAAAAAGTATGTTTCACTATGAACTGGTAACACGTTGGTAATCAATCTCCAGTTAATCTCCAGTTAATCTCCGGGGTAACCTCATAGTCCTCCCTGATACTGCCATTATAGTTCATGAACGTATCTGAATTTGAAGCTTATTTAAAAAACGATCAATAAATAAGATTCACATGGATAAATAAAGGCTAAATACAAACACTAATGACAAAAATGTGACAGTTGTACCTGGAAGACCTCTGTGGAGGCTGTGGTGGGGTTGTCCCACACCGCGCTGACTTGAGCGGGGACGGGATGACCGTGGTCTGTGACCACACGCACATGGGACGTGTTCACATACATGGTCACCACTGACGTGCGGTCCTGCTCCGTGGGGTTGTAGATGACCACAGACCTGGAGGAAAATAGACAGGTTGGTATGAGTTGCTAATGCTTTGATCTGAAAAGTCTGAAAGTACAGAGACATACCCAGACAAAACTAATTGGTCATAAAGAAAAGATTCCACAGCTGTCATCTGACCAGACTATAACTTCCTGTATTTATTCTAAATCATATTTGCAATATGAAAGGGGTCATAATATCAGCCAGAATATGTAAGGGAAAAGGGAGGAACATTTGTACGGTGCCTTACCTAGGCTGTGAGCTGATTTTCAGAACTGTTTTTCGAGGCAGGGCATCTTGAGCAGGCTGGATATCATCCTGAGAGAAATGTATATGAGATTAGAGTTGATTTGCAAAAGAACACCTATCTGGTATAGCTACACCAACACACAGTCCACAGGCTATTTCCAGTTCTTTGAGACTAATTTTCAAAAAATATATTTAAATTTTGTTTTTGTGGTATTGGCTGCCGCTTTTCAAAACTGAGAAACTATTTAAACATCTAAGGCTCATTCACTTTCTAATACAATTTTCATTAGGTTTGGGTGAGTGAGATAAACTCAGCAAAAAAAGAAACGTCCTCTCACTGCATTTATTTTCAGCAAACTTAACATGTGTAAATATTTGTATGAACATAACAAGATTCAACAACTGAGACATAAACTGAACAAGTTCCACAGACATGTGACTAACAAAAATGGAATAATGTGTCCCTGAACAAAGGGGGGGTCAAAATCAAAAGTAACAGTCAGTATCTGGTGTGGCCACCAGCTGCATTAAGTACTGCAGTGCATCTCTTCCTCATGGACTGCACCAGATTTGCCAGTTCTTGCTGTGAGATGTTACCCCACTCTTCCACCAAGGCACCTGCAAGTTCCCGTACATTTCTGGGGGGAATGACCCTAGCCCTCACCCTCCAATCCAACAGGTCCCAGACGTGCTCAATAGGATTGAGATCCGGGCTTTTCGCTGGCCATGGCAGAACACAGACATTCCTGTCTTGCAGGAAATCACGCACAGAACGAGCAGTATGGCTGCTGGCATTGTCATGCTGGAGGGTCATGTCAGGATGAGCCTGCAGGAAGGGTACCACAAGAGGGAGGAGGATGTCTTCCCTGTAACGCACAGCGTTGAGATTGCCTGCAATGACAACAGGCTCAGTCCGATGATACTGTGACACACCGCCCCAGACCATGATGGACCCTCCACGTCCAAATCGATCCCGCTCCAGAGTACAGGCCTCGGTGTAACGCTCATTCCTTTGACGATAAACATGAATCCGACCATCACCCCTGGTGAGACAAAACCGCGACTCATCAGTGAACAGCACTTTTTGCCAGTCCTGTCTTGTCCAGCGACGGTGGGTTTGTGCCCATAGGCGACGTTGTTGCCAGTGATGTCTGGTGAGGACCTGCCTTACAACAGGCCTACAAGCCCTCAGTCCAGCCTCTCTCAGCCTATTGCAGACAGTCTGAGCACTGATAGAGGGATTGTGTGTTCCTGGTGTAACTCGGGCAGTTGTTGTTGCCATCCTGTACCTGTCCCGCAGGTGTGATGTTCGGATGTACCGATCCTGTGCAGGTGTTGTTACACGTGGTCTGCCACTGAGAGGACGATCACCTGTTCGTCCTGTCTCCCTGTAGTGCTGTCTTAGGCGTCTCACAGTATGGACATTGCAAATTATTGCCCTGGCCACATCTGCAGTCCTCATGCCTCCTTGCAGCATGCCTAAGGCACGTTCACGCAGATGAGCAGGGACCCTGGGCATCTTTCTTTTGGTGTTTTTCAGAGTCAGTAGAAAGGCCTCTTTAGTGTCCTAAGTTTTCATAACTGTGACCTTAATTGCCTACCGTCTGTAAGCTGTTAGTGTCCGTTCCATAGGTGCATGTTCATTAATTGTTTATGGTTCATTGAACAAGCATGGGAAACAGTGTTTAATCACTTTACAATGAAGATCTGTGAAGTTATTTTGATTTTTACTAATTATCTTTGAAAGACAGGGTCCTGAAAAAGGGACATTTCTTTTTTTGCTGAGTTTACATATCAAGCGTCTTTTCAGCTGCTGTATCAAAACAAGGAAGTGGAAGAGGTTACATTACTCTGGAAATTGATGTTGACTTCCTGCCCGGGCAATTTGCATATTAAAATCCTGATGTTGTGCCTCCTTGAGGGATTTGGCCAAAGGTAGAGTGTGGTAAACACTTCAAAGGTAGCTACTGCATGCATTTCACTACCTGCAACACCACCATAAACTGTCACCCTTTGAAAATCCCTATACTAATCTGAAATGTTGCTATGCACAATCATCTACCTTGTTTCAACATTGAAATTAAAACGCCAATGCTTTTTTTACTCACCATTTGAAGGAAGGCCTTTGAGGGATTGTGACTGTATGCACTTTTGTCCTTCAGCACCAGCCAGTGAGCGGAGTTGACGATCACTTGTTTCAAATTCAAAATGGAATGAAACAACCTGAGAACAGAGAATTGTTCTAATTAAATGCCCAGAGGAAAGCAGTCAAAGCTCTGAGTCAAATATATAATGTTTCACTTTCATTCAATCAATGTCTACGGCCCGATGCTGGAAATAATCACAAAACCATGTCGGTGCAATCCATTTAATTCTTGCTTAATCAGTGTGTCCATGTTGAAAAAAAATAAAACAAGCAATTAAAAAATTATACCTGGTACCGTAGTCGATCACTACCAAGTCCTTGCCGGTGCCTGTGATAGCATCATGGTGCTGGAACAAGCCCAGGTTCCTCCTGGCTTCAGTGAGCAGTCTGTAATTCTCCACAGCTGGGAAATCATTCCGCTTCCCATACCTCCTAATATTGGCCAGGGTGAGGGAGTAGAGGATCTCAGCAGCCCTGAAGGACAGACAGAGGGAATAGTTATTTTCTTCACATGAGTATGCCTTTCCATGGCACCAAGACAGACATGGGTCGTGTTCATTAGGGAGGAAACGTTTTGAACAGGGAGATGCTACAGTGCCTTCGGAAAGTATTCACACCCCTTGAGTTCTTCCACATTTTGTTACGTTACAGCCTTATTCCAAAAGAATTAAATAAAAATAAAAACGCAGCAATCTACACACAATAGCCCATAGTGACAAAGTGAAAACAGGTTTTTAGACATTTTTGCAAATTTATTTAAAAAACAAAACAGAAAAACCTTATTTACATAAGTATTCAGACCCTTTGCTATGAGACTCGAAATTGAGCTCAGGTGCATCCTGTTTCCATTGATCATCCTTGACATGTTTATACAACTTGATTGGAGTCCACCTGTGTTAAATTAAATTGATTGGACATGATTTGAAAAGGCACACACCTGTCTATATAAGGTCCCACAATTGACAGTGCATGTCAGAACAAAAACCAAGCCATGAGGTCGAAATAATTGTCCGTAGAGCTCCGTGACAGGATTGTGTCGGGCACAGATCTGGTGAAGGGTACCCAAGAAATTTGGCAGAATTGAAGGTCCCCAAGAACACAGTGGCCTCCATCATTCTTAAATGGGAGAAGTTTGGAACCACCAAGACTCTTCTTAGAGCTGGCCGCCCGGCCAAACTGAGCAATCGGGGGAGAAGGGCCTTGGTCAGGGAGGTGACCAAGAACCCGATGGTCACCTTGACAGAGCTCTAGAGTTCCTCTGTGGAGATGGGAGAACCTTCCAGAAGGACAACCATCTGTACAGCACTCCACCAATCAGGCCTTTATGGTAGAGTGGCCAGACAGAATCCACTCCTCAGTAAAAGACACATGATAGCCCACTTGGAGTTTGCCAAAAGGCACCTAAAGACTCTCACACCATGAAAAACAAGATTCTCTGGTCTGATGAAACCAAGATTGAACTCTTTGGCCTGAATGTCAAGCGTCACTTCTGGAGGAAACCTGGTACCATCCCTATGTGCCAGGTAACAGCATCATGCTGAGGGGATGTTTTTCAGCGGCAGGGACTGGGAGACTAGTCAGGATCGAGGCAAAGATGAACGGAGCAAAGTACAGCGAGATCCTTGATGAAAACCTGCTCCAGAGCGCCCAGGACCTCAGACTGGGGCGAAGGTTCACCTTCCAACAGGACAACAACCCTAAGCACACAGCCAAGACAACGTAGGAGTGGCTTCGGGACAAGTCTCTGAATGTCCTTGAGTGGCCCAGCCAGAGCCCGGACTTGAACACGATCGAACATCTCTGGAGAGACCTGAAAATAGCTGTGCAGCGACGCTCCCTATCCAATCTGACAGAGCTTGAGAAGATCTGCAGAGAAGAATGGGAGAAACTCCCCAAATACAAGTGTGCCAAGCTTGTAGCGTCATACCCAAGAAGACTTGAGGCTGTAATCGCTGACAAAGGTGCTTCAACAAAGTACTGAGTAAAGGGTCTGAATACTTATGTACATTTGATTTCTTTTTTTTTCTTTTTTTTTTTATTAGCAAAAATGTCTAAAATCCTGTTTTTGCTTTGTCATTATGGGGTACTGTATGCAGATTGATGAGGCAAAAAAACAATTTCATCAATTTTAGAATAAGGCTGTAACCTAACAAAATGTGGAAAAAGTCAAGGGATCTGAATACTTTCCGAAGGCACTGTATATGATTTGTCCAATAAGAACAAATATTTTTGTTTTCCATTGCAAAAAGTTTTTATTTGTTCACTCATTTCAGTGCATTCAGTGAAGTGACAAATAGTTGTTGATATATGGGTCATCATGGGCCAAGAGTGTAAGTAAATTACTCAAAATTGACCACAGTTGCAATCAGAGACTCAGCTTGTGTTATTGATCTACTATCCCCCATAGTAAAAATATTGACCTATTCAATTCTGTGAGATAAATAAATATTCGAAACATAGTCTCGGACAGTTGTGGGATGCGATAGATCCCAAATTAATACAACCATTAGCATAAAAAAAAGTTTTTAAGCAATGAGGCTGATACAACGTTTAGCTTAAAATGTTGATAAACTATTAGGCTATTTCTTCACATTATAAGCGCAGCAATGCGCACACGGCAGTAGGCTATAAGCACAAATGTTCAAAAATGCAATCAATTAGTGGGGAAAGTGACCGCAAATGCGATTATGCATGTAATGCTTTTATTATAAAGGTTTGCAATTTCATGGTGAAAATGATTTTCCTCAAACTTGAAACTCACGCACTGCGTATGTATGCCAGTTAGGCTCTACACCCATTGTAAAGCGGATTCATGTGCTTAATTTTAAGAAGTTATTTGGCCACTTTAGTTGTGAGACAAACCTTATCAAATGGGCTAGGCTACATGAGGTGTGCGACTATGATTTGAAAAAGTCGCAAAAAAAGGCATGCACTGTTTCTTGCCTTGCTGCACACAAGCTGGGCACCATTCATAAGTGATAATATATAATTCACAAGTGATAGGCTAATATTGTCACCCATCAGACTATTCTTGATTTAATCTTGTCTTTACATATACAGTCGTGGTAAAAAGTTTTGAGAATGACCAAGTATTGGTCTCTCCAAAGTTTGCTGCTTCAGTGTTCTTAGATCTTTATGTCAGTAGTTACTATGGTACACTGAAGTATAATTACAAGTATTCCATAAGTGTCAAAGGCTTTCATTGACAATGACATTCAGTTTATGCAAAGAGTCAATATTTGCAGTGTTGACCATTCTTTTTCAAGACCTCTGCAATCCGCCCTGGCATGCTGTCAATTAACTTCTGGGCCACATCCAGACTGATGGCAGCCCATTCTTGCATAATCAATGCTTGGAGTTTGTCAGAATTTGTGGGTTTTTGTTTGTCCACCCACCTCTTGAGGATCAATCACAAGTTGTCAATGGGATTAAGGTCTAGGGAGTTTCCTGGCCATGGACCCAAAATGTCGATGTTTTGTTCCCCGAGCCACTTAGTTATCACTTTTGCCTTATGGCAAGGTGCTCCATCATGCTGGAAAAGGCATTGGTCGTCACCAAACTGTTCTTGGATGGTTGGGAGAAGTTGCTCTCGGAGGATGTGTTGGTACCATTCTTTATTCATGGCTGTGTTCTTAGGCAAAATTGTGAGTGAGCCCACTCCCTTGGCTGAGAAGCAACCCCACACATGAATGGTCTCAGGATGCTTTACTGTTGGCATGACACAGGACTGATGGTAGCGCTCACCTTGTCTTCTCCGGACAAGGTGTTTTCCGGATGGCCCAAACAATCGGAAAGGGGATTCATCAGAGAAAATGACTTTACCCCAGTCCTCAGCAGTCCAATCCCTGTACCTTTTGCAGAATATCAGTCTGTCCCTGATGTTTTTCCTGGAGAAAAGTGGCTTCTTTGCTGCCCTTCTTGACACCAGGCCATCCTCCAAAAGTCTTCGCCTCATTGTGCGTGCAGATGCACTTAAACCTGCCTGCTGCCATTCCTGAGCAAGCTCTGCACTGGTGGTGCCCCGATCCCGCAGCTGAATCAACTTTAGGAGACGGTCCTGGCGCTTGCTGGACTTTCTTGGGCACCCTGACGCCTTCTTCACAACAATTGAACCTCTCTCCTTGAAGTTCTTGATGATCCAATAAATGGTTGATTTATGTAATCTTACTAGCAGCAATATCCTTGCCTGTGAAGCCCTTTTTGTGCAAAGCAATGATGACGGCACGTGTTTCCTTGCAGGTAACCATGGTTGACAGAGGAAGAACAATGATTTCAAGCACCACCCTCCTTTTAAAGTTTCCAGTCTTATTTTGACTCAATCAGCATGACAGAGTGATCTCCAGCCTTGTCCTTGTCAACACTCTCACCTGTGTTAATGAGACAATCACTGACATGATGGCAGCTGGTCCTTTTGTGGCAGGACTGAAATGGGGGGAGACAATAGATTGCTGAGTACCAGGCAGTTAGCAAGTTTGGTAGGCTACTAATGACCATCAGCAGCATCAGAGCTTGAAGAAGCCTAATTACCATGACAAAATGGTCACGTGGAATTTGACTGCTGTCTTGACATGTGACCGCCGGTGTGGCAGAAATACGGTCACAGTACAGCCCTATCCCTAGAGAGTATCAAGTACTGAGTGGGGAGGGGAAAACTGAAAACTTGTTGTTATTGGCAGAGAGGTTTGGAACTCTTTCTTATTGGACTATTAACTAATTTACCGCATGGTGATGTCACCATGGAAGGCTAAAACTCCTTGTGTCTCAGATTTTGAATAAGAAACGAGAATACAGAGTCTACAGTAATCTCCCTAAAGAACAAGAGGCAAGCATTGGATGTTTTAAAAAAGGATTCCACTTTGAGCTGTGGTGTTGTTAAACTGTGATGACTATGTGAATGAGATCCGGGGAAAATTGAACAACACCACTTTCTATCAGAAATTGTCACGTGACCCCACACCACTGTTCAAAGGTGAGATTCACTGCAAGCTTGTGGAAAGTGGAGACATCATGCAAAAATAATATGAGTTCATGAAAGTAGACTATCCAATCAGGAGCGTCATTCATGCCTTACCAAAAATTTACAAACGACTGGATAAGCCACCTGGGAGACCTATTGTGGCCTCCATTGGCTCATTGACTGAAAATATTTCTGCTTTTGTAGATTTCTTTCTAAAACCCAGTGTGGTGTCACACCCTGCATATGTACGCGATTCTATAGACATGATTAACACCCTTAAGACAATGCACAATATCAATGGTGAGACGTTGCTTGCTTTGATGTTGAATCACTGAATACTAATATCCTTCATCAGGGAGGCCTAGAAGCCATTGCACACTACCTCTGTCAACGACCCATTGACACACTCCCTACCACTAACTGTATCTTTGAACTTGCTGAGATTGTTCTGACTAAGAACTTTTTCCTGTTTGAAAATGACATGTTCATTCAACAGAAGGGAACTGCTATGGGTAGTAAAATGGCACCAAATTATGCCAATCTGTATGTTAAAAAAAAAAGAAGAATGTGATTTTCAGCCATAATAATCCATTCTTGCACCATATTAGACTCTGGAAACGATTCATTGATGACGCATTTGTTCTATTTCAGGGCACAGTAGAGGAACTTCATCGATTCCACTCCTTCATCAATATAAGCAGTGAACATTTGAAATTCACCCTCACCTTTAATGCGCATGAAATACGTTTTCTTGACATTTTGATTAACCTTCCCACCCTCCTGACCAACGCGTTCAATGCTTCCTTCAGTACTCTCCACTTGGTAAACAATTTGACCACATCATTCAAAAACACTGGTACATCTTGAGCACTGATCCACAACTAGAAAATAAGTTTAAAGAACCCCCACTGGTAGTCTTCAGACGCACCCCCAACATCAGTCAAATGGTGTTGAGGTCTGATCTTCCACCAGTGCCACGCAGTACCTTTCTAGACAATGTTCCGGACAGTAACTATAGATGTGGCGGATGTACCCAGTGTAACTTCACAAACAAATGTACAATGTTCAATCACCCTATTACGGGAAAGGCCATTAAGATTTAGGGCATCATTACATGTTCCACAAAAAATGTGATATACCTGATCAAGTGTATTTCTGGTCTATGCTATGTAGGTAAAACAAAACGAGCTTTGAAAACAAGGACAGCAGAACACAGGAGTAATATCAGGACACTTGACCAGAGAAACCCTGTGGCTGAGCATTTCATGGAGGCTTGTCACAACATTAGCTCTTTGAGATACATTGGCATTGAACATTTTAAGACTCCCTGGAGGGGCGGAGATACTGGTAATCTATTATTGAGAAGATAATTATATTGGATTCACCGTTTGTGTAACATGTCTCGTAGAGGTCTGAACCAAGAGTTTGACATCAGACCATTTCTTACATGTATATGTCACTTTACTTTGAATTGTCTTGCCTTCCAGGTTACCCACTTGGTCATTTTGTAAATATATATTATTTTCTGGAACCACTACATGTACCCATCTCATTGTTATTAAATTATTAAATTGTTAGAGATACACAAATGTTTTTTTCACCCACCATGTGTCATGGCTGCAATAGTCATGTGAGGTGAAATGTGTATATTTTGGGATGTGAGCACTCAGTTTGTTTGACCTGATGAAGATCCATTTCAGATGGAAACGTTGTCAACAAAGCGGTGAATTGGGAGCTTTAACAGTGTGCAGGCCTTCTTATTCTATACTAAAACTCCATCCCACCAAAACAGGCAGAAATTTCAGGCAGTCTTTTCAAACCGCTCTTACACTAAAAGGGCATTATCATCATTTTCACAATTTCACAATATTATTCCAAACTCATAGTGCAGACATATACTGTATATATTAAAACACAGGAAAATCACGTTTTTGACTGCACTGGGCCTGTGTTTCAGCTAGGGCCGTTACGGTGACTGTATTTTCCAGAGGTCACACAGTCAAATTCCACGTGACCGTTTAGTCATGGTAACTAGGCTTCTCCAAATCTGCGTTCTGATGCTGCTGATGGTCATTAGTAGCCTACCAAACTTGCTAACTGCCAGTCGCTAATGGCCTGGTACTCAGCGATCTATTGTCCCTCTAATCACTCTTAAATCAATGCAAATGCGATCGAAAAATCTAATTAAACACTTAATGAGAGCCCATGAGCTCATGTTATGCAACATTTCTGTAGGCTATGCAATTGCGTGAGAAAACAGAGTTTTGATGGCCTCTATTAAAAAGAGGAGGATCCCATCAGCTTTCTATAGGCTAGGCCTACTATATTTATTTCTCAGCTTTCCTAATATTAAGCACTTTGCTTCGCTTTACAACAGGAGTATAGCCTACCTGGCTGGCATGAAAATGAACCGCAGGAAAAGCATCCTTCATTCGCTAATTAAGTGCATAGATGACATGTATTTTATTCCCCTGCTACTGTTCCGATAGGTGCATAATAATGGTACATTCTAAATCAAAACTAATTTCACACATACACTACATGGCCAAAAGTGTCCACATACTTTTGTATATATAGTGTATGTAAAGACAAGATTAAATTAAGAATAGTCTGATGGGTGACAATATTATCACTTGTGAATGATATATTATCACTTGTGAATGATGCCCAGCTTGTGTGCAGTAAGGCAAGAAACACCACATGCCTTTTTTGTGTGACTTTTTCTAAACATAGTCACACACATCATGTAGCCTAGCCCATAGGCTTATATTTTGATTGTATCACTACTAAAGTGGCCAAATAACTCCAAATGTATCCTATAGGCTTAGGACCCCTGGAAAACGGTTAGAGAGCACATAGCCTACAGAGCCTAGTGAAACATGTGCTCTTATAAACCCAGTCATTGCACAATCGCATGTGAAAACAGAGTTTTGACTGGCAACTATTTAAAAGAGGATCCCAGCTTTCTCGTGCTGCTATATTTATTGCTCAATTCTTAAGCTTAAGAATGGCATACATAGGTGACGCGTGAGTTTCAAGTTTGGGGAAAGTAATTTTCACCATAAAAATGCACCTTTATAATAAAGCATTCCATGCATTATCGCATTTGCAGACTTATGTAAGATAACCTACTATTCCTAATGTGATGAGTAGATTGCATAGTCATAATTTAGGCTAATAATATAACTCAATCACTGTTCGCAAAAAAAGACCATTCAATGCATGGCTGAGCGAGTATAGGCCTCAGCTATATCAGCTACGTTTCTTCTTTCTTTGCATGGGAAAAATGTGGCCTTTTATAAACACATTTCATGCAATTGTACTACACTTTACATGAATGGAGACATTAGCAGGATGTTTTTTAATGCGACAAATTACAGGGTAGCCTACTCTGCTGACACTGACAAACAACGTTGTCCGTATAATAGGCCTACAAGAAGGGGAGACACAAATAGAATATGACGTCCATCTAAACTGGAGGAGGAAACTATTGTGAAAAACGAACCCAATAATAATAGATAGTGAATATGCGCAGTGCGCACTCACCGGGGATATTGCCGATGCTCTCTGCTGGTGCCAATAAGACAGGCTATACTGTTGTTCGCTCAATTCAGTTGAGAATTTTAGATTATTTGTATTTTCATTGTCTTCTCTTTACAGCAATAACCATTTGCTTTCCAAACTATGTTTTCCTGTAATTGTATTTTGAAATATTGCAATTTGCCTGGCTTGGCCTATCTACTTTTCACAGACAGTCACAACTCAACAATAATCTGCCCAAATTGTGTGTGCTGCCTTTCCTTCCGACTGTAGGCAATACGATTTAAAACAATCCACAACTAATTTAAAAAAAGAATCAAATCAAATCACATTTTATTTGTCACATACATGTGTTTAGCAGATCTTATTGCGGGTGTAGCAAAATGCTTGTGCTTCTAGCTCCGACAATGCAGTAATATCTAACAATTTATATATACCCAATGCACACAAATCTAGTAAGGAATGGAATTTAAGAATATATACATATACAGTGAGGGAAAAAATAATTTGATCCCCTGCTGATTTTGTACGTTTGCCCACTGACAAAGAAATGATCAGTCTATAATTTTAATGGTAGGTTTATTTGAACAGTGAGAGACAGAATAACAACAAAAAAATCAAGACAAACGCATGTCAAAAATGTTATAAATTGATTTGCATTTTAATGAGGGAAATAAGTATTTGACAATATATGGCCCTGTCCATCGTCCCGGTGAAGTTGTCCTGTCCCATTAGCAGAAAAACACCCCCAAAGGTGGGGATGGTGTTCTTGGGGTCATAGGCAGCATTCCTCCTCCTCCAAACACGGTGAGTTGAGTTGATGCCAAAGAGCTCAATTTTGGTCTCATCTGACCACAACACTTTCACCCAGTTCTCCTCTGAATCATTCAGATGTTCATTGGCAAACTTCAGACGGGCATGTATATGTGCTTTGTTGAGCAGGGGGACCTTGCGTGCGCTGCAGGATTTCAGTCCTTCACGGCGTAGTGTGTTACCAATTGTTTTCTTGGTGACTATGGTCCCAGCTGCCTTGAGATCATTGACAAGATCCTCCCGTGTAGTTCTGGGCTGATTCCTCACCATTCTCATGATCATTGCAACTCCACAAGGTGAGATCTTGCATGGAGCCCCAGGCCGAGGGAGATTTACAGTTATTTTGTGTTTCTTCCATTTGCGAATAATCCCACCAACTGTTGTCACCTTCTCACCAAGCTGCTTGGCGATGGTCTTGTAGCCCAGGTCTACAATCTTGTCCCTGACATCCTTGGAGAGCTCTTTGGTCTTGGCCATGGTGGAGAGTTTGGAATCTGATTGATTGATTGCTTCTGTGGACAGGTGTCTTTTATACAGGTAACAAACTGAGATTAGGAGCACTCCCTTTAAGAGTGTGCTCCTAATCTCAGCTCGTTACCTGTATAAAAGACACCTGGGAGCCAGAAATCTTTCTGATTGAGAGGGGGTCAAATACTTATTTCCCTCATTAAAATGCAAATCAATTTATAACATTTTTGACATGCGTTTTTCTTGATTTTTTTGTTGTTATTCTGTCTCTCACTGTTCAAATAAACCTACCATTAAAATTATAGACTGATCATTTCTTTGTCAGTGGGCAAACATACAAAATCAACAGGGGTTCAAATACTTTTCCCCCTCACTGTATGGACAAGCAATGACAGAGCGGCATGGACTAAGATACAGTAGAATATTATAGAATAGAGATGAGTAGTGCAAGATATGTAAACATTATTAAAGTGACTAGTGTTCCATTTCTTAAAGTGGCCAGTGATTTCAATAGGCAGCAGCAGCCTCTAATGTGCTGCCCCCCCTCCTTGTTCAGGCAGGCTTCGGCGTTCGTCGTCACCGGCTTACTAGCCACTGCCGCTCCATATCTCATCAATACATTTGTCTTGTCTTGTCAATTACACACACCTGGTTCTTATCCCCTCATTAGTCTGTGTATAAGTGTTCCCTCTGCCCCCTTGTCCTTGTGGGTGATTGTTTATTGTGAGAGTAGAGTAGCTTGGTGGAGCTACTCGTACCTTGTATTACCAGGGTAGATGGTTTCCCCTGTGGCTCTTTTCTGTTGTCGCTATCCAGCGCAATTGTGTACGATGGAATAAACTCTGTATTCGGTGACATACCCTCCTGCGCCTGACTCCTTCTATCACACTCATCACACAGTGGCTCGGGTGGTTGATGTCCTTGATGATCTTTTTGGCCTTCCTGTGACATCAGGTGCTGTAGGGGGGCGGGTAGTTTGCCCCCGGTAATGCGTTCGGCAGACCGCACCACCCTCTGGAGAGCCCTGCGGTTGCGGGCGGTGCAGTTGCCGTATCAGGCGGTGATACAGCCCGACAGGATGCTCTCAATTGTGCATCTGTAAAAGTTTGTGAGGGTTTTAGGTGCCAAGCCAAATTTCTTCAGCCTCCTGAGGTTGAAGAGGCTCTGTTGCGCCTTCTTCACCACACTGTCTGCATGGGTGGACCATTTCAGTTTGTCAGTGATGTGTACGCCAAGGAACTTGAAGCTTTCCACCTTCTCCACTGCGGTCCCGTCGATGTGGATAGGGGGGTGCACTCTCTGCTGTTTCCTGAAGTCCACAATCATCTCCTTTGTTTTGTTGCCGTTGAGTGAGAGGTTATTTTCCTGGCACCACACTCCCAGAGCCCTCACCTCCTCCCTGTAGGCGGTCTCGTCATTGTTGGTAATCAAGCCTACTACTGTTGTGTCGTCTGCAAACTTGATGATTGAGTTGGAGGCGTGCTTGGCCACGCAGTCATGGGTGAACAGGGAATACAGGAGGGGGCTGAGCGCGCACCCTTGTGGGGCCCCAGTGTTGAGGATCAGCGAAGTGGAGATGTTGTTTCCTACCTTCACCACCTGGGGCAGCCCATCAGGAAGTCCAGGACCCAGTTGCACAGGGCGGGGTTCAGACCCAGGGCCTCGAGCTTAATGATGAGCTTGGAGGGTACTATAGTGTTGAATGCTGAGCTATAGTCAATGAACAACATTCTTACATAGGTATTCCTCTTGTCTAATTATCCTCTGTGGCCAAATGCTTTAGTAGCCTATTTTGAATTATTTTATTTATTTATGTATAGAGGGGAGTAGGCTAATTAGGCTATATAATTCACTTTAGTTAAAGTGCTTGCATATAAAAAAAACGTAACCACACGTTACCTCCATTCGCTATTCGAGTGCAGGCTATGGATGCCGTTTTTTTTGTGGGCCATTCTAAATAAAAAGAATATGTAAAGACCAGATTAAATTAAGAATAGTTTGATGGGTGAGAATATTATCAAGTGCTTGTCAAATTGTGAATGAGAGACTGATGAATTGTGTGCAGCCTGTGCAAGAACCAGAGCAGAGCTCATGCCTTTCATGCAACTTTTTTCAAATCATCATTAGAGTCACTTCATGCAGCCTTAATAAAAAATAAACATTTAGTCTAACGTTTGTAACACAACTAAAGTTGCATAAATAACTCTAAATAAAGCATATTATTTTTTTTGTTAATTGTTTTTTGTTGTTGTTATTGTTTAATATTATTTTTGTTTTGTTTTTTGTTTTTAAAGTCATTTAGCAGACGCTCTTATCCAGAGCGACTTACAGTTAGTGAGTGCATACATTTTTCATACTGGCCCCCCGTGGGAATCGAACCCACAACCCTGGCGTTGCAAGCGCCATGCTCTACCAACTGAGCTACAGGCATATAGGAGGACCTGTTTCTTTGCTCAACACAGAATAGCCGGATGTGGTCACTCTCTTGGAAATCTTTTGGAGAAAATATCCTTTCTATTTTATTCAGCTATGTTCAATTGTATTCTTCATACTATAAAATAATATAAAATAATGCCACAGAATTCTAAGCAAATCTTGTCTGCTAAGCAAAGCCCACAGCCATATGGCATAGCCAGATCAGGGCCTAACATAAGGACAACTCAGAATATGCTATTTTGTTCTTCTGAAATAGACAACATTTTCTTCATATCATGTTTCTTTAGACTTGTCTAAAATAAATAATGGATTTATTGTGATGGTGTAGGCTATATTAAATTGATTTATTAGACTGTTTAAAATGTAGTTGTTCCAACGGTCTGCATCAGTGGCTTGTAGATGATGCATATGGAAGCCAGGAGATGGTGAACGTGTTTATGTTAATTAACGGACAATTACCATGAGACCGGCAATTATTTGCATGACAATTACGGGCTGACAAAATGTCATGAACGCCACAGCCCTAGTTTCAGTGTCTTATATCTTACTGTGTCTTTCTAGATTGTTACAATGGGCGGAGCAACACGTCTTGTTTGTGGTAGTATCTCTAAGAAAATCATGTGTTTTAATGCAATGACCGCATCTTGAGAGCTTCTAACATAATCAACACACTGAGGCAACTGACCCAATTGCACCATGTAAAAAGCCAATAGGTCTGCCTCCTTCCAAGGAGAAAAACATATTTACAGAACGAGACAATGACCTTGAAGGGAACATCTCTTTCAGATGAATGAGGAGGAGAGCAGGCAGACGTATACCACATACTGTGCACAGTCTTGTTTGCAGCTTGAAAGGAGCTGCCGGTTGAGTGCCAAGACTAATTTAACGACTGTATTCTGATTAGCCATCTCCCTTCCTATATTTAGACACCATCAAATGCAAATACGGTGCTGTGTTTAATGAAAATCCACAAATCCAGCCCTACTGTATTTGTTGGTGTACTGAATCTAACATAAACTCCTTCCTGTTATGAAGTTGAACCATCCAAGCATAACAATAGATGTGTACACAATCTTGAGACCTCAGCAGGACAGAACAGATTCAAAGTTCAAACGGATTCAAACTCTTCTCATGTGGTATTTTTCGGATATGGACAATAGTGTGTGAGATGCTGGGTGTACAGTTGAAGTCGGAAGTTTACATACACCTTAGCCAAATACATTTAAACTCAGTTTTTCACAATTCCTGACATTTAATCCTAGTAAAAATTCCCTGGCTTAGGCCAGTTAGGATCACCACTTTATTTTAAGAATGTGAAATGTCAGAATAATAGTAGAGAGAATGATTTATTTCAGCTTTTATTTCTTTCATCACATTCCCAGTGGGTCAGAAGTTCACATACACTCAATTAGTATTTGGTAGCATTGCCTTTAAATTGTTTAACTTGGGTCAAATATTTCGGGTAGCCTTCCACAAGCTTCCCACAATAAGTTGGGTGAATTTTGGCCCATTCCTCCTGACAGAGCTGGTATAACTGAGTCATGTTTGTAGGCCTCTTTGCTCGCACACGCTTTTTCAGTTCTGCCCACACATTTTCTTAGGATTGAGGTCAGGGCTTTGTGATGGCCACTCCAATACCTTGACTTTGTTGTCCTTAAGCCATTTTGCCACAACTTTGGAAGTATGCTTGGGGTCATTGTCCATTTGGAAGACCCATTTGCGACCAAGCTTTAACTTCCTGACTGATGTCTTGAGATGTTGCTTCAATATATCCACATAATTTTCCTTCCTCATGATGCCATCTATTTTGTGAAGTGCACCAGTCCCTCCTGCAGCAAAGCAACCCCACAGCATGATGCTGCCACGCCCATGCTTCACGGTTGGGATGGTGCTCTTCAGCTTGCAAGCAAACCCTTTTTCCTCCAAACATAATGGTGTCATTATGGCCAAACAGTTATATTTTTGTTTCATCAGACCAGAGGACATTTCTCCAAAAAGTACGATCTTTGTCCCCATGTGCAGTTGCAAACCGTAGTCTGGCTTTTTTATGGTGCTTTTGGAGTAGTGGCTTCTTCCTTGCTGAGCGGCCTTTCAGGTTATGTCGATATAGGACTTGTTTTACTGTGGATATAGATACTTTTGTACCCGTTTCCTCCAGCATCTTCACAAGGTCCTTTGCTGTTGTTCTGGGATTGATTTGCACCAAAGTACGTTCATCTCTAGGAGACAGAACGCGTCTCCTTCCTGAGCGGTATGACGGCTGCGTGGTCCCATGGTGTTTATACTTGCGTACTATTGTTTGTACAGATGAATGTGGTACCTTCAGGCGTTTGGAAATTTCTCCCAAGGAGGTATACAATTGTTTTTCTGAGGTCTTGGCTGATTTATTTAGATTTTCCCATAATGTCAAGCAAAGAGGCACTGAGCTTGGAGGTAGGCCTTGAAATACATCCACAGGTACACCTCCAATTGACTCAAATTATGTCAATTAGCATATCAGAACCTTCTAAAGCCATGACATCATTTTCTGGAATTTCCCAAGCTGTTTAAAGGCACAGTTAACTTAGTGTATGTAAACTTCTGACCCACTGGAATTGTGATACAGTGAATTATAAGTGAAATAATCTGTCTGTAAACAATTGTTGGAAAAATTACTTGTGTCATGCACAAAGTAGATGTCCTAACCGACTTGCCAAAACTATAGTTTGTTAACAAGAAATTTGTGGAGTGGTTGAAAAACGATTTTTAATGACTCCAACCTAAGTGTGTGTAAACATCCGACTTCAACTGTATGTGGGGGTCTGGAGGTTGGTCGGCAATGAGGGAAGACCAGGAAGACTGTGTCTGTGGGGGTTCACAGTGAGACAGACTGTGGTGTTGAGGCTTGCAGAGACTGGGGCCTGGGAGAGGGGAGGAAACACTTATTACTGCTCTCCTACTGAGTCTGCTCACACTCACTGGTGCACGTGCACACGCACAAACACACACACAAACAACTCTCATCCACAGTCATCTCTATGTGCTTAGTTCCTGCACTGACCACTTTGACTGCCTCACACCAGGCAGCCTGTAAGATTAGGTCCTTATCTCAAAAGACAAAGCAAAGGAAATCGATACGTGCTGAAAAAACAGTTCTAAACACTGTGACTGAGGGTCTTCACCCTGTATCGGTAGAAAGTAGCCAAACTTTTGGTCAGAAGTTTGGGTACCTGGTACTATGAGGTGTATCTCAAGTGTATTCCTAGAGGAAACACTAGATTAGAAGATACCAGGAAGACTAGTGGTTGCCAAGGTGTCAACTCATGGAGATCCAATTCAAATAAAGAATACTGTAACCCAATCAAAGACATGGTGAAACTAATCCACTGTGCAACGTAAAATGCACAGCATTATAAACAGATAATTGATTGGAGAAATTGTTATTTTTACATTTGAAGCACTGAGATAGCCCAAAAATAAACTGTGAATAATAACCACATCTCAAACTAGGCCTATTACAAAGGTTTGATTGAAATAATATGCTTGTTAGATGTTTTTTTATTTTATTTGTAATGACATTTATCACCAACCACTCTTGCATTTTGATGAATATGAATCCAATAAAATATTCAAATTCAGTCTTCTCACTCCAAAGTGTTAAAATAAATGAAAGCCAATCTAATGGCCCACTATCTAGTAACCCCAAACACTGACCAGACAAACGTGTTTTAATGCATTTAGTACTAGTAGACTATAACCTTAATTCACAGTCACAGGCTTGAGAAGATCTCCACCAGGTTGTTGCCTTTGATCCAGTCTGTTTCTTTCTTTAGTAAAGGTTAATGTAACAAGTCATTTTTTATGTGGTGGGGGAGTTGGCCCCATGCACAATCACCAACCTGGAGGGCCAGGGACTGCTTTGTCCGCCTACTACCCTTCGACCTGTCTGGCTTGGTTGGACCTGCCGGGGGTATACACCCTCTCCGGCAAGGAGACAGTCCAGGAGACTAATTACTAGCCTTAATTAGTAGTTATCCTTAATTAGTACAATGGACAATCTCTTCCCAATTAGTACAAAGGACAATCTCTTCCCATCGTCAGCACGGTCAGTTAGAGCCAGCGTTGAGTGTGGTGTTGGGAAGGTTAGTCATGACCATTATAGGAGTTGAATGCCATTCACATAGAAAGGGTCTGTAAAGCGAGTGGGATCTTTCTCTGCCAGCGTCTTCTAGGCATAGATGCCAAGACTCTAGGGTCTCCAGGGCATAAATTAAGAAATGCAGGAAACCGACAGTTGATGTTGGTTTTACTTGCATGTAGTACCATTTAGCAGATTTTTATTTACTTCACTGAAATGCTGTTAATTCACGTTTACATACATTTTCATTCATTCATTAGTATACTATAGTTTTTACATAAGTGAGCCTTGTGGTTTGGCTATTCCCCAGCAACTACTCTAGATAGATAATCAATGTTGTTTGGCTAATTGACAGCCAAGTTGCCATTTCCTTGTGTACACTGCAATCTTAAAAGGCGACTGCACTTTCTGATTTGGCCTCATTTTAGATTTGGTTCATTAAGAAATGCTAGCGGCCTAGACTGAATTCCAACGCAAGTTGGTTTCGGGGTGTGGTTTGATGTGGGTGTCTCTTGTGTGTTTGCAGGTGGAAAGAGTTAGCCAAATTATTTAGCCAATTAGCTTCAGCCGGCTGGTGTGCGACTGTGGCAAAATTAGTTTGACTTTGGATAGCCTATCTCCAGGGCTAGTTAAGGACCGTCAATAAATTACACAATGTAAATGAGACAATCTTTTCATATTGCACACCTTTTAGTTTTCTCATTAAATGCTTTCAATATTTGATGATTCATTTCTACAATTTATAGTTGGTTTAAGGTTTTTAAGTCATTGAAATTTGGAGCACTTGCAGTTTTAACATACAGTGGCTTGCGAAAGTATTCACCCCCTTGGTATATTTCCTATTTTGTTGCCTTACAATGTGGAATTAAAATGGGGGTTTGTATCATTTGATTTACACAACATGCCTACCACTTTGAAGATGCAAAATATTTTTTATTGTGAAACAAACAAGAAATAAGACAAAAAAACTGAAAACTTGAGCGTGCATAACTATTCACCCCCCCAAAGTCAATACTTTGTACAGTCACCTTTTGCAGCAATTACAGCTACAAGTCTCTTGGGGTATGTCTCTATAAGCTTGGCACATCTAGCCACTGGGATTTCTGCCCATTCTTCAAGGCAAAACTGCTCCAGCTCCTTCAAGTTGGATGGGTTCCGCTGGTGTACAGCAATCTTTAAGTCATACCACAGATTCTCAATTGGATTGAGGTCTGGGCTTTGACTAGGCCATTCCAAGACATTTAAATGTTTCCCCTTAAAACACTTGAGTGTTGCTTAGCAGTATGCTTAGGGTCATTGTCCTACTGGAAGGTGAACCTCCGTCCCAGTCTCAAATCTCTGGAAGACTGAAACAGGTTTCCCTCAAGAATTTCCCTGTATTTAGCGCCATCCATCATTCCTTCAATTCTGACCAGTTTCCCAGTCCCTGCCGATGAAAAACATCCCAACAGCATGATGCTGCCACCACCATGCTTCACTGTGGGGATGGTGTTCTCGGGGTGATGAGAGGTGTTGGGTTTGCGCCAGACATAGCGTTTTCCTTGATGGCCAAAAAGCACAATTTTTATCTGACCAGAGTACCTTCTTCCATATGTTTGGGGAGTCTCCCACATGCCTTTTGGTGAACACCAAACGTGTTTACTTATTTCTTTCTTTAAGCCACTCTTCTGTAAAGCCCAGCTCTGTGGAGCGTACAGCTTAAAGTGGTCCTATGGACAAATACTCCAATCTCCGCTGTGTAGCTTTGCAGCTCCTTCAGGGTTATGTTTGGTCTCTTTGTTGCCTCTCTGATTAATGCCCTCCATGCCTGGTCCGTGAGTTTTGGTGGGCGGCCCTCTCTTGGCAGGTTTGTTGTGGTGCCATATTCTTTCAATTTTTTAACAATGGATTTAATGGTGCTCCGTGGGATGTTCAAAGTTTCGGATATTGTTTTATAACCCAATCCTGATCTGTACTTCTCCACAACTTTGTCCCTGACCTGTTTGGAGCGCTCCTTGGTCTTCATGGTGCCGCTTGCTTGGTGGTGCCCCTTGCTTAGTGGTGTTGCAGACTCTGGGGCCTTTCAGAATAGGTGTATATATACTGATATCATGTGACAGATCATGTGACACTTAAATAAAGTCCACCTGTGTGCAATCTAACTAATTATGTGACTTCTGAAGGTAATTGGTCGCACCAGATCTTATTTAGGGGCTTCATAGCAAAGGGGGTGAATACATATGCACACACCACTTTTCAGTTTTAAATTTTTTTGAATTTCTTTCACTTCACCAATTTGGACTATTTTGTGTATGTCCATTACATGAAATCCAAATAAAAATCAATTTAAATTACAGGTTGTAATGCAACAAAAAGGAAAAACGCCATGGGGGATGAATACTTTTGCAAGCCACTGTATTGTCCCAATATTGTAATTTAACGATGGTCCCTAACTAGCCCCATTGGGATATCCAAACTTAACCCAAATTTACCACAGGCATTACGATAATGTCACGTGCAGCTGCACTCTGAACTGATGATTACGTGTGTGGTGCCAGCTGTGGGCATGTGGGCAGGATTGAAACAAACCCAACCTTCATTTACGTTGTGATGCAGTCACGACCAAAAGTCTCACAAAACTCTGTTTTGGACAAGACTGACTTTATGACCCAAATTATCCTATTTACACTTTGTAGTACATTTTGACACTAGAATAAATGTTTCGGAGTCATACCGATGGCACATAAGTTGTTTTCTAAATGAGAAGTTGTTTTTTAAGGGCAGTTTCTCTTTAACCAGTCATCCAATACATGTACTTACAGTGATTCACTTTCTATGTTGAAACTGTACTGCTTGTAAAAATAATCTACGTAATCTGTGTTGGTTGACGGATGATGATTGAAATTTAACAATATTGATAAAAAAAATAAAAATAAATTATAGGAACTAGAGAAAGAGATTTGAATAAATTGTAAAAAAAGAAACAGAGAAAAAAGAAACAGAAAAAGACAAATAGGTTGCCACAAAATAACTGTCTGTGCTCCCACCTGAGGTGTGACTCCAGCACGCGGTCCATACGTTTGTAGAAGGGTCGGGAGGTGAAGTAGCCGCTCCAGTAGTGGTCATCTCGGTCTGCGTAGGTGAAGAAGTCTCCGCTGACCACAGGTAAAGAGGGACCAGCATGACCGGGGTCTATGGCCGATTTACGAAGAGCATTGAAGTAATCCGAGATTGTGCCGAACTGAGCCTAGAACAGAATGTGTCAGTTAGACTATAAAGCAAATTGATGATAGAGTGCTTGAGAGAGAAACTTAAAATAGCTCTCTCATTAATGCTGTAGGGTAGTTTACTTTTCAGCTTTATTGAGAGCAGTGTACCATTGCAATAGCTGGACACAAAAACAATATTTCAAGAAGGGTAGGAAGCCAACGAAACACACCATTACTATCGGGCATCAGTCATTCCAATGTGTTGCATCAAAACCTTAAACCCCACCATCTTCCACTAATGCAAACCTAATAAACCTGAAATAAACCTGGCAGCTTGAAAAGGAAATCAAAGACTAAACAAAACTTCCTGCATATTCACGCAACATTCCAGCTCCTAAGTCACAAGTCAGACCTTGACGTGTAGTTCTGGATGAGAGTTCATGTAGTCAAAGAGCTTTTGGTAGTTTTGAAACTGCTGGTCCCACTCTAAGGCCTCTGTGTAGCGGAAGTCATCCCCTAGGGGGGCCATCACCACCTTGGTTCGGAATAGCTTGGACTTCTTCCTGTACTGGTCCAGCAGCATCTGAACCCTAGGGATCATGGGAAAAAGAGTTTACTATACTACAACGGATTAACAGTTTTCATGACATATTAAGCTGTAATTGTCAATGAAATATGTGCGTGTGTGTTCGTTCATTCACGTGTGTGGTCAATTCTCTAGTCTTGGATTTGCTACTGTGTCAGAAAGTCCACGTATCATCAGAGCCTATCTTGTGTTAGAAAAACAAAGGCCATCTGAAATTCCTATTACCACAACATAGTACCGTACAGTGGCTTTAATGTCTTATTTGATCCTTGTCCATAACACTATCAAACTGTGGAGAGAATGTGGACCGTCTGGCTACACCATAAACCAGTGTTTCTAATACTTGTCTGTACCAGGGAGAGGCAAGCTATGGGACAGACCACAGATTAAGAAACACTTTCCATAGAGAACCCAACGCCTTTGGGACCAGCTTTGCGTTTGTCGTGTTTGAATGTCAAGTGTTGTTTTTAACTGTGAGCCTCAAGCCAAAGACAATATCCTGCTTCATGTAAATTCGATAGGACAATAAAGATTTTATAATGTGAATGTTGCATTTCACAGCCGTGGTTGTAGAGAGACAGTATATCACGCTCATTCCATTTCTATGTGATTGGTCACCTCTGTTGTACGTTTCCATCCGTGATTGGCTGAGGGGGGACCCTCCAGGGACAGCTGACCCGCCCACCAGGAAGTCTCTTGAAGTCAAACTGGCAGCAGATCTTGGGGTCGGGACCACAAGTGTGGGGAACATCGTAACTGTAGAAGGGCATCATGTGACATAGAATGTCCGTGCTGGAGGCTGGGTCTACACACAGATAGAATAGAACATGAAATAGAATAGAGTATTAGAATAGAACTTTGAAAATATATATATTTTTCCTAACAGTACATCTTGCGTGGTATTTGCATTTGACAGTACAAAGAACCCACAAACATCCTTATGACAATATTTCAGAATGTGGACTGTAAACTAGCATGTAAGCTAGCATGCAATGTCTAAAAATAGTTTGAAAGAAAAACAGATTACATTTCTATCTCAAAGAGACTGTCCAGTGGCATGCATGCAGTATTCAAAAGTACTAACATTTATCCCATTATCAGAAATAACAAATAATGCCTGGTCGCTTGTATGATGATGATTACATAAAATACAATCTGATCTGGCATTGAACCGATGACTAATTTGCTACGGCCAAGCAGGAGCGGTAAAATCATGGGGGAAGCCAAGCCCCCCCCAAAAAGAATTATGTTGTTTGCTCTATAACCTGTTAATTCATATGCCTTGCTGATATATAGGCCTAAAAGCAGAGACAATAAGAAGACACAGTGGCAGAATAAACTCAACCACACCTTTGTTTTATCACAAAACCAGATTGCAACCTCTGTCCAGTGAAGTCCACAAAGCTCATTGCATGTAACAAACAGCTACATGACCTACAGCATGGTCAAGCAAGTTAATGTTTCCGACATTTTTGGACCACTAAAAAACTTTACAACCACAGAGTTACCGCAAGTCGCAAAGAAAACAAGAGCTGCCTCCACTATTCCAGCACCATTTCAACTTCAACATGATCAAATCAGTCTAATACAGTGACAACTAAAAGACACCACAAACAATTTAGACCAATCAACGTAAGCTAAATATGATGTGGCTGTCCATGGTTCTGATTTCTGTGTGCGTGTGTGTGCGTGCGCGTATCTTGCAAGTAGAAAAACATGTTGAATCACCCTACTTGTAGAGAAACGCCAATGCCACCCTCCTCTCTTTCATGTTGATGAACACAGAGAGACGAAAGATAAATTATTGTATGTTTTAAAATGTTAAAATTGGTAAAATCTATGGGGAAGCCTGGCTTCCCTTGGTATCTATGAATACACGCCACTGCGGCCAAGTGAGATGAAATCCTATTTGTCCTGCAGTGGAAAGGGCCTGCTTCCTGAGCTAGAGCACGCTGTCATCTCCCATATGGATCTGTCAGTGTGACATTGCACATTTCAAGCAATGCACTCTATTATGCCACAGGTCTGTCTGTCTCTCAAAACAATAGCACAGAGAGGTGTTTCCAACCACTACATCAATGTTGGATTTCCATGTATTTGACCCCGCGTTTGTTATTGAGTAGAAGGAATATAGTGAAGGTGAGCAGCATACACACAATAGTTTTAGAAAGCTTAGTAATATACTGTATTCTACTGTTATTTGATCAGTACATTACAGGTAAAACAACATTCTCAGACCGACCGTTATTCGACTATTCACTCGACTTTCATTTCATTCAAGTCTTCAAACCTAAAAAAACCACAACACTTACTCATGTATATAATGTAGAACATTGTCCAGAGACTAAGCTAGTGTGTCCCCTTTGGCCATACTGGCAGAATGGCACCACATGGCCAAACAAACTGTAATCTACTCAAATCAAATCAAATCAAATTGTATTTATCACATGCGCCAAATACAACTTGTGTAGACTTTACAGTGAAATGTTTGCTTAGGAAACTTTCACAACGATGCAGAGTTAAAAAATAATAATACTAACTAACACAAGATGATTAAAATAAAATACACAAGAATGGAGCTATATACAGGGTGCACCAGTTCCAGATCAATGTGCAGAGGTACGAGGTATTTGAGGTAGATATGTACATGAAGGCAGGGTAAAGTGACTAGGCATCAGGATAGATAATAATAAGAGTAAAAAAGAAAAACAGAGTAGCAGCAGCAAATGATGAGTGTAAAAGTATGTGTGTGTGAGTGTGTGTATGTACAGTTGAAGTCGGAAGTTTACATACACTTAGGTTGGAGTCATTAAAACTCGTTTTTCAACCACTCCACACATTTCTTGTTAACAAACTATAGTTTTGGCAAGTCGATTAGGACATCTACTTTGTGCATGACACAAGTCATTTTTCCAACAATTGTTTAGACAGATTATTTCACTTATAATTCACTGTATCACAATTCCAGTGGGTCAGAAGTTTACATACACTAACTTGACTGTGCCTTTAAACAGCTTGGGAAATTCCAGAAAATGATAGGCTAATTGACATCATTTGAGTCAATTGGAGGTGTACCTGTGGATGTATTTCAAGGCCTACCTTCAAACTCAGTGCCTCTTTGCTTGACATCATGGGAAAATCAAAAGAAATCAGCCAAGACCTCAGAAAAACAATTGTAGACCTCCACAAGTCTGGTTCATCCTTGGGAGCAATTTCCAAACACCTGAAGGTACCACGTTCATCTGTACAAACAATAGTACGCAAGTATAAACACCATAGGACCACGCAGCCGTCATACCGCTCAGGAAGGAGACGCATTCTGTCTCCTGGAGATGAACGTACTTTGGTGCGAAAAGTGCAAATCAATCCCAGAACAACAGCAAAGGACCTTGTGAAGATGCTGGAGGAAACAGGTACAAAAGTATCTATATCCACAGTAAAACGAGTCCTATATCGACATAACTTGAAAGGCCGCTCAGCAAGGAAGAAGCCACTGCTCCAAAACCGCCATAAAAAAGCCAGACTACGGTTTGCAACTGCACATGGGGACAAAGATCGTACTTTTTGGAGAAATGTCCTCTGGTCTGATGAAACAAAAATAGAACTGTTTGGCCATAATGACCATCGTTATGTTAGGAGGAAAAAGGGGGTTACTTGCAAGCCGAAGAACACCATCCCAACCGTGAAGCACGGGGGTGGCATCATGCTGTGGGGGTGCTTTGCTGCAGGAGGGACTGGTGCACTTCACAAAATAGATGGCATCATGAGGAAGGAAAATTATGTGGATATATTGAAGCAACATCTCAAGACATCAGTCAGGAAGTTAAAGCTTGGTCGCAAATGGGTCTTCCAAATGGACAATGACCCCAATCATACTTCCAAAGTTGTGGCAAAATGGCTTAAGGACAACAAAGTCAAGGTATTGGAGTGGCCATCACAAAGCCCTGACCTCAATCCTAAGAAAATGTGTGGGCAGAACTGAAAAAGCGTGTGCGAGCAAGGAGGCCTACAAACATGACTCAGTTATACCAGCTCTGTCAGGAGGAATGGGCCAAAATTCACCCAACTTATTGTGGGAAGCTTGTGGAAGGCTACCCGAAATATTTGACCCAAGTTAAACAATTTAAAGGCAATGCTACCAAATACTAATTGAGTGTATGTAAACTTCTGACCCACTGGGAATGTGATGAAAGAAATAAAAGCTGAAATAAATCATTCTCTCTACTATTATTCTGACATTTCACATTCATAAAATAAAGTGGTGATCCTAACTGACCTAAGACAGGGAATTTTTACTAGGATTAAATGTCAGGATTGTGAAAAACTGAGTTTAAATGTATTTGGCTAAGGTGTATGTAAACTTCTGACTTCAACTGAGTGGCGCAGTGGTCTAAGGCACTGCATCGCAGTGCTAACTGTGCCACTAGAGATCCTGGTTCGAATCCAGGCTCTGTCGCAGCCGGCCGCGACCGGGAGACTCATGGGCGGCGCACAATTGGCCCAGTGTCGTCCAGGGTAGGGGAGGGAATGGCCGGCAGGGATGTAGCTCAGTTGATAGAGCATGGCGTTTGCAACGCCAGGGTTGTGGGTTCGATTCACACGGGGGGCCAGTATATATAAAAAAATATGTATTCACTAACTGTAAGTCGCTCTGGATAAGAGTGTCTGCTAAAATTACGTAAATGTAAAAAACTGTATGTTTGTGTTGTGTCGGTATGCGTGTGTGTGTGTGCATATGTATTATTTGATTGTGTGTGGGAGTGACTGTGTAGTGTGTATGAGTGAGTGTGTATATGGTATGTATATAAAGTCTAGTGAGTGTGTGTAGGGTCAGTGCAAGATAGAGTCAGTGTAGATTGTTCGGGTACCACTGGTTGACTATTTAGGAGTCTTTTGGCTATTTAGCAGTCTTATGGCTTAGGGGTAGAAGCTGTCTCGGAGCCTGTTGGTCCGAGAGCCAATGCTCCGCAAGACGGTAGCAGAGTGAACAGTCTATGGCTTGGGTGGCTGAAGTCTTTGGCAATTTTTTGGGCCTTCCTCTGACACCGCCTGAAATATAGAGGTCCTGGATGGCAGGGAGCTCGGCCCAAGTGATGTACTGGGCTGTCCGCACCACCCTTCGTAGCGCTTTGCGGGCAACGGCGGTGCTATTGCCATTCCAAGCAGTGATGCAGCCAGTCAAGATGCTCTTGATGGTGCAGCTGTAGAACTTTATGAGGATTTGAGTGGCCATGGCAAATCTTTTCAGCCTCCTGAAGGGCATCAACAAGTACTCAACTCTGAGAATAACATAAAACACTTCAATAAAAGTGAACCATAAGAACAGTGCACAAACTGACCTGATCTTTTATCATTGTCTGCTATTAAATGACCATAATAGTATTTGATCATTTTCATGACGTAAATAAAAAATTGTACAGACAGATGCACTGGCATTGCAGACGATTTCATCATCTACCCAGTGCACGCGCAGGCACACACAAAGACACACACTGCAGATGGTTCACGGAAAATGTGAAACCCCTTATATATTTGACCTCCCTTTGGTCATGAGGATGTGGTCTACATTGTTCTTATCAATCAGCATGCTCATCATCAGACCTGAGTTCAATAGTATTTATCTTCTTTCAAATACTTCAGCTGCACTCGATTGAGCTTGCCTGGTGCAATGGAACCAACGTAATTGCAAACCCTGCCCATCTGGCACTCCGTAGAGGCTCAATCAAACACAAATGGAAAGAAATCAAATACTATTCGATCCGAGGTCTGTTCATCGCATGAAATGCCAACCAGACATACAAGGAGCCAATCCCGTTTACCACAGATGCTATAAAATGACGGCAAACAAAATCGGAGCCTTGAGAGACGAGTATGCTCTTGCATGTGATACGCGTGTAATTATCTATTGACATGAGAAATCCCTCTGCTGTGGTCTGAGCGACTCAATAACATCCACAGCTGATGCTACTGTCGCCTATCCTAGCGCTGATAGTTACACAAGCTGACTGCCCAGAGTTCAACACATGGCATCAAACCATCCACAGCATCAGCCACAGCAAATATGTAAAGGAATTGGAAGTAGCTGGAAGCATGCGTTTTCTACTGAGTATGAAGTAGTCACTCTGAGGTCATGTTATTTTGTTTCTGTCTATAGAAGTAGAACTAGGACTTTGAATATGCTAAATGCTAAATTGAAATGGATAAGATAGCGCCTGAAACACTGAACCACTGAGAATAGAGGCATGAGGAGCGGATCTCCAGCAGAGATTGGCAGAGATCAGAAAGAGGCACTGGATGTTTATTTGAGGGCCCTAGCACCCCGCCTAGAAAACAATCTAGCTAGGGGAAACACTGACACTGGGAAAGCACCCTGAGAGAGCCACAGGGCTACAGTCAGTCTGCATACTTGCCCCAGTTTTGTCTCCAGAAGAACTCCAGGGTCTTCTGACTGGCAAAATGTTTCTTGACGGAGTAGTGCACCCTCTGGATGAGCATGTTGGCCAGGCCAGCCTGTTTCAGTAGGTACGCCTGGGTAGGGGAGTGGCCAAACGGGTCCACAGCCCAGCCCGTCTGGGGTTTCACTCCTAGCAGGGAAGACCAGAGGGAAGAGTCAGGTTCATGCAGAGAAGGTTCGCAGCAACCCTCCTCAAAATGTTGAGGAAAAATTTTAAATAATAGAAAAGCTACAAATCCTTATAATAAACATCTGTTACACAGGTCATTCCATTAAATCAACCAGTTTTCATGTGTCATCCTCCCTAACTGTTTAAGTCACCAGCTGCCACTGGGTTAATGTGTTCATGTATAAACAGTTAAAATCTCTGATGGTTAAAGTATGCCGATCATTTTGTGTCAATCATGCAAAATAACAAATATGCTGAACAAATACACTGAGTGTACAAAACATTAGCAGAGTGTTAATTAAAGACAAATCACTAGTAAGTAGCTATAGTTTGTGACTGCATGTTCCAGCACAGGAACACAAACAGCTTCACAGCGAGTGTACAAAACAACATGAACACCTTTCCATGACATAGACTGACCAGGTGAATCCAGGTTAAAGCTATGATCCATTATTGATGTCACTTGATGACATGTTAAAGACGGATTTTTAAGCCTCGAAACAATTGAGACATGGATTGTGTATGTGTGCCATTCAGAGGGTGAATGTGCAAGACAAAATATTTAAGTGCCTTTGAAAGGGGGAATGGTAGTGGAGTCAAAGCATTTGAGTCAACATGGGCCAGCATCCCTGTGGAACGCTTTCGACACCTTGTAGAGTCCATCCCTCTGAATAATTGAAGCTGTTCTGAGGGCAAAAGGGGGTGCAACGCAATACTAGAAAGATGTTCCTAATGTTTTGTACACTCAGTGTATGTTGTGCATGTCAACAACATTTGTTTTTTTACGATCTCTTTCCAGATAACAAATGCCTGATATATTATGTACTCACCCAAATTTCTCTCCAACCACTGGTGTCCCTCCAATAGCTGGTCAATTAATGCAAAGTAGTGTGAGTTGGCTTCATCAGGCATCACCCAGCCTCCCGTTGTAATCTCCAACTGGCCTCGCTCAACCAGACTAAACAACACAGAGCAAAATGATCAGGATCTCAGACTGTCAACTCAGTCAATTACCGTTTCATAGTTCAAAGCCAAAATAAAAACAAACAAATCGTGAAGCGATCCAAAAACCCTGCAGCTTTATGAATTTGAGCCCTCTTTTTCAGTTCAAAATTCTGAGCAACACCGACAGATATGTTTATTACTTGTTAAAAAAAACACTGGATTAAAAATAGATGCTTTCAGTCACAAACATTATGACATGATAATACGACATTCTAAGGGTGTCATCCATACATCTTAGTTGCACGAGACATCACCTCACGTGGTAAGGAAAAAATCAAGGCCCTACTTATTTCAATAATACAAACCATCTTTTCATCTGTTGCTGTTTAATTATCTTACCCCTATGTCCTAAGAGTAAAATCAACCACTTTAGGAGATACTCCCCTCTCTTATTAGAAACCTCTTGCATTGATTTTGAGTCAGCATCTTTCCTCTGTTCGCGGAGCAATTTTCAATTGCAGACTTCTTTAACATGTCCCTGGCAAGCCCCTATAATAAGAGCATTGGAGCAGCAAAGCAACGTATGACGACTCAGCACTTTTCGTTATAGAAATAGAAATTGCTTTTTATTTTCTCCCCTTGGACACATGATTTTCCTCTTGGATCATTCAATCACCAGTGGGTTTCTTTCATTGTTCTATGATTGGACAGGTGGAAGTGGTGTGTAGTGTAGGTTTGTCCTGGTATTGAAGAGTTGGAGGGATGAAGGCATGTGCCATCTTCACTGAGCAGATAGCAACACTGCATTCTAACGAGGATGGATGTGGCCCTCCTACAAACCGAAACATGCTGCTCAAAAACATGTTCCTCTCAAATTCTAAAGGTGCGTTCTGAAGAAATAATGAGGTTGTTTGTTTGAATTTCTTGAGCGAGACTTCTCTGTGTACTGTAACGTGGAAAATTGCCAGACCTTGAATTTGCTGACATAAAATGAAAACCCGCAAAGAAAATAAGTTATTAAATGAGTAGCAACACCCTTCAAAAAAAGAGTAAACACGGAATATTCTCCCCCAAAAAAAGGAATGGATCTGGTTCGCTTTGAACTCCCTGCGAATCAAATCAATAGTGAATAAATATTTGTGTTGGATTTTTCATCTTCCTCCATCCTTCACCTTAAGGCTGTTTTTGCTTGTGCTCCTAATTGGAATTCTAACCTGCAGCTGAAATATTTATTGCATTTCATACACCGTTTTGTAATCTCCCAGGGCTTAGTGCTGAAGCCTACCAGCCAGTAGCTCGTCGTGAGCATGGCCAATGCACACAGCATTTGTGACACCCTCTTTGCTTTTGGGGCTGTTTTCTGAAGCGGAAAACCCTCTCCCTCTCACTCCCTCCATGTCGATCCCAGAGAACCCCCTGACTCCTGACAACCGTTACATCCTCAAGGGGACATTGTCAACAGAAAAGAGACTGAGGCAGAGTGAGCGAGAGATAGTGTGAGCCCATGTGCCTCTCACAAGCACAATTGATTTTATGACCTCAAGACCATTTGGAGTCAGTTTGGCTTGTTAAGGCGATTCAAACCAATTAACTCCTGCTACCAGGCAGAGTAAAGAATCGTTGTACTGTAAACTGGGATGTGGCCATTGATTTACCTGTACATACCGTATAATGACAATCTCAGGCTGTGGTGTTGTTGAGTTAATTTATGTAAAACATCTTCACTTCTAATTTCACTGCATTTTTAATAAACCCTATAAAACCGCTAGCCCTAAGCAATGTATAACCTTGCTTTAATTAAAATGGGAATAACAGAGGAGCATCGAAATCTTATTTCAAATCCACTAAGGAATTAGTTTCCACGTTTACAGCAGCCAAGCTAAATCAAGAATACAATTACAGAATCCATAAGTGATTTGCTGCTCATATTGATTTCACCTTGAAGCTAGAATGACACACACAGACAGACAGACAGAACTCCTACCTCTTGACAGCGTCTCTCTTCTGGTCGTCGATGTTGTCCCACCACTTGGAGAAGTAGGAGATCTCAGACCAGATCATTTTCCTGCGGCTGTCCTCGTGGAGTTTCACCACCATGTTGTTCAGGATGTGCTGGGTCTGGTCCCGGTAGTAGTCATCAAACGTCTTCAGCCATCCTGAAAATGTACAAATGGACAACTATAACAGTGGAAGAGCATACATTACAACTGTAGAGTGGTGTGTAAGGAATAATCTACATATGTTCACTTCTATGTAAATGCTGTGTGGTCTGTCTGTCTGCCATAGATTCAATAAGCGGATTCGATAAAGCCATCATCATCATCATCATCATCATCATCATCATCATCAGGTGAATGAGCAGAACATGTGGTTCAATCAATATGCCACATCCATTGATTTCACAACATAATGTTATCATATTTCCAATGAAAATCAATGCATTCAAAAAAAGTCTGAACATTGCATCGTTCTTTCCAATGCAAGATAAAACAGGATAAATCATTCAGTGAACGGCAAACAGTGCTTTTAAACTGTACAAGGGCGTGAGTATTGTCATGAGCCACTGTATACAGCTGTAAGGGAAGACCACCCCAGTCAAACCAGAAATCCAGCTCGGGTTACTAAAGAGTTAACCAATCTCAGGAACAAAGAATAGACTGGCCCTGGCTGTAACTGGGCTGCAGATGCTGCTACTGAGCATACACACGACGTGACAAACGCCGGAAACTACCACTACTCTTATTGCCTGCACTGACGCCTTAGTCTCTAGAATGCTTGTGAGGGACTTCGCCTTCACAATGCAATACATCATTCAAATGCTCTGTTTCTGTGGAAAATGTAACAGTGAGGAAATGTATAGAAAACAGGCTTCTTATATGTCTGATCAATTGTTTTCTTTTTCTGAACAATTGTTTTCGTTTTTTTCAAGTGGTAACAGGACAAGACTTTCATCAATTGCTCTATGACCTTTATGTTGTTACTGTGGTATAATGCTTGTCTTTACGTTGTATACTGTGGTATAATGCTTGTCTTTACGTTGTATACTGTGGTATAAAGCTTGTCTTTACGTTGTATACTGTGGTATAATGCTTGTCTTTACGTTGTATACTGTGGTATAATGCTTGTCTTTACGTTGTATACTGTGGTATAATGCTTGTCTTTACGTTGTATACTGTGGTATAATGCTTTATAATGCTGTCTTTACGTTGTATACTGTGGTATAATGCTTGTCTTTACGTTGTATACTGTGGTATAATGCTTGTCTTTACGTTGTATACTGTGGTATAATGCTTGTCTTTACGTTGTATACTGTGATATAATGCTTGTCTTTACGTTGTATACTGTGGTATAATGCTTGTCTTTACGTTGTATACTGTGATATGATGCTTGTCTTTACGTTGTATACTGTGGTATAATGCTTGTCTTTACGTTGTATACTGTGATATGATGCTTGTCTTTACGTTGTATACTGTGGTATAATGCTTGTCTTTACGTTGTATACTGTGATATGATGCTTGTCTTTACGTTGTATACTGTGGTATAATGCCTATCTTTACGTTGTATACTGTGATATAATGCTTGTCTTTACGTTGTATACTGTGATATAATGCTTGTCTTTACGCTGTATACTATGGTATAATGCTATTTCCCCTGGCAGACCATGAAACACAATTAACCTAGGAAAAATAAATATGAAAAATGAATCCTGACTGCTGTGGAACTGCCTACGCCTTGCCTCCTGTCTATACGAGGTGTGATTGTATTAAGTAGAGAAAACAAAGCATTGAAGAAGTCACAGAGGAAAGTCCAGTGTTTCCAGATTAGCTTTAAAGGGACAATATACTCCAAAATAAAATGAGCAGATGTTTTTAAACCTAAAAGGCAGTCTTATGTCAAGATAAATCCATGTCCCACACAATCGATTGTGAAGAACTACAACTTGATTTTGGAGTGTGTTGTCCCTTTAATGCTCTCTGAAGTAGTGCACTGCTTACCAGGATCATTGTGTGAGTGGGGCACAACAAAGACTTGTAGTGGCTCGCTGTCCCATTCATTCTCCCGGTAGGTGATATCAAATCCTTGTTTCCACACTCCCCCATCAGGATTGTCAAAGGTCAGAAGATCATTAACATCCATCAACTGAAAAAGACACAAAAAACAAACACTTGAACCCCTGTTTCTGTTTCTCTCTGAGACAAATAGTGGGATATTATTTGAGGTAAACTACTACCATGAAGAAGGCTAACATACAATGAAGTATATTTCACCTGTTTATTGTCAACAATGTATTATTAGAAGTATTAAAAGTATTGAACAATATTGCCACCAATAAACCGTGACACTGGTTTGCAGCAAAGCCTCACTTTATTAGGCTATGTTGCCTACTCTAGAATTTGTTTATGGAAGTTTAGTGTATTTGGTTCAGTTTCAGTTTTTTGTTTACTTTAAGTCACAGTAGCGGTCAAAAAGAAAGAAAACAGAGAAAACAGTGCATCTGTTCCTGGATTATCTGTGATATCAGCAGGTCAGAAGAATGCAAATGAGAGATGGAACTTCTAATGCAACAGAGGCTGCTTGGAGTTTCTTTGGGACTTGCGCCAACTTAAATATCTGTCTTTGTCTTATGGCCAAATAAAATTATGGTATAATTGGAGAGGACAAGATGAAAGAATGTATTATCTGTCATGGTTTTATATGTACATGCACAGTACGTAATGGTACAAGAGCCACTGACTAAAACCATGATTTTAATAACAGGAATATGAAACGCAGAAAAGAGCTTGTTATCATGATTGGTGTCAAGAAGAAATGTGATGACATACAGTGCCTTCGAAAAGTATTCAGACCCCTTGACTTTTTCCACAATTTGTTACGTTACAGCCTTATTCTAAAACGGATTTTTAAAAGAATTATCCTCATCAATCTACACACATACCCCATAATGTCAAAGCGAAAACAGGTTTGTAGAAATGTTTGAACATTTATTAAAAATGAAAAACAGAAATACCTTATTTATATAAGTATTCAGACCCTTTGCTATGAGACTCGAAATTGAGCTCAGGTGCATCCTCTTTCCATTGATCATCCTTGAGATGTTTCTACAACTTGACTGGAGTCCACCTGTGGTAAATTCAACTGATTGGACATGATTTGGAAAGGCACACACCTGTCTATATAAGGTCCCACAGTTGACAGTGCATGTCAGAGCAAAAACCAAGCCATAAGGTCGAAGGAATTGTCCGTAGACAGGATTGTGTCAAGGCACAGATCTGGGGAAGGGTACCAAAACATTTCTGCAGCATTGAAGGTCCCCAAGAACACAGTGGCCTCCATCATTCTTAAAAATTGAAGAAGTTTGGAACCACCAAGGACCCAAGACTTCAATGTTTTGTTCCCCAAGCCACTTACAGTGGGGAAAAAAAGTATTTAGTCAGCCACCAATTGTGCAAGTTCTCCCACTTAAAAAGATGAGAGAGGCCTGTAATTTTCATCATAGGTACACGTCAACTATGACAGACAAAATTAGAAAAAAAATCCAGAAAATCACATTGTAGGATTTTTTATGAATTTATTTGCAAATTATGGTGGAAAATAAGTATTTGGTCAATAACAAAAGTTTCTCAATACTTTGTTATATACCCTTTGTTGGCAATGACACAGGTCAAACGTTTTCTGTAAGTCTTCACAAGGTTTTCACACACTGTTGCTGGTATTTTGGCCCATTCCTCCATGCAGATCTCCTCTAGAGCAGTGATGTTTTGGGGCTAGGCCACTCCAGGACCTTGAAATGCTTCTTACGAAGCCACTCCTTCGTTGCCCGGGCGGTGTGTGGGATCATTGTCATGCTGAAAGACCCAGCCACGTTTCATCTTCAATGCCCTTGCTGATGGAAGGAGGTTTTCACTCAAAATCTCACAATACATGGCCCCATTCATTCTTTCCTTTACACGGATCAGTCGTCCTGGTCCCTTTGCAGAAAAACAGCCCCAAAGCATGATGTTTCCACCCCCATGCTTCACAGTAGGTATGGTGTTATTTGGATGCAACTCAGCATTCTTTGTCCTCCAAACACGACCAGTTGAGTTTTTACCAAAAAGTTATATTTTGGTTTCATCTGACCATATGACATTCTCCCAATCCTCTTCTGGATCATCCAAATGCACTCTAGCAAACTTCAGACGGGCCTGGACATGTACTGGCTTAAGCAGGGGGACACGTCTCCCACTGCAGGATTTGAGTCCCTGGCGGCGTAGTGTGTTACTGATGGTAGGCTTTGTTACTTTGGTCCCAGCTCTCTGCAGGTCATTCACTAGGTCCCCCCGTGTGGTTCTGGGATTTTTGCTCATCGTTCTTGTGATCATTTTGACCCCACTGGGTGAGATCTTGCGTGGAGCCCCAGATCGAGGGAGATTATCAGTGGTCTTGTATGTCTTCCATTTCCTAATAATTGCTCCCACAGTTGATTTCTTCAAACCAAGCTGCTTACCTATTGCAGATTCAGTCTTCCCAGCCTGGTGCAGGTCTACAATTTTGTTTCTGGTGTCCTTTGACAGCTCTTTGTTCTTGGCCATAGTGGAGTTTGGAGTGTGACTGTTTGAGGTTGTGGACAGGTGTCTTTTATACTGATAACAAGTTCAAACAGGTGCCATTAATACAGGTAACGAGTGGAGGACAGAGGAGCCTCTTAAATAAGAAGTTACAGGTCTGTGAGAGCCAGAAATCTTGCTTGTTTGTAGGTGACCAAATACTTATTTTCCACCATAATTTGCAAATAAATTCATTAAAAATCCTACAATGTGATTTTCTGGAGAAAAAAATTCTCAATTTGTCTGTCATAGTTGACGTGTACCTATGATGAAAATTACAGGCCTCTCTCATCTTTTTAAGTGGGAGAACTTGCACAATTGGTGGCTGACTAAATACTTTTTTTCCCCACTGTAGGTGCTGAGTGATTAACTGACATTTCTGTAATTTTTCCGTTTTTAAACAACTAATTGACAAATGTTGGTTCAATTATTAGAATTCCATTTTGTTTTTTGTTTTTGTTTAGCTCAATGCACAGTTTCTCTACAGATAAATCAGATCAAGCCCGAACTATGTGAGGTAGTAGGGAGTTCTAGTTTCCAAGAGGCCAATCTTCTAAATAGTTCAGCACAGAAAACGTGGTAATGAACTACAATGACCATAATCCATTGCGCGCCTACTTGTCTGGTCTGTGTGTTTCTTTTACACCTGCTACATTAGGTTAGTGTGGGGCAGACACGGCGAGGGAGACAGAATAATATGCGATCGAGAGGGATAGAGAGCAGTTGCTTCGCGAGGTATCTACCTGAAAATACATGATCTAAGTGATTGATAGTTGGTATTCAGCAGTCATAAAAGTATGCCTTATTTACTTTGAAGAACTACTAAAATAGTGATTTTGTCAGGCAGCATAGGCAGCAGCTGTATAGAGATGATGACTTGGAATGAAATAATAAAGTCATCAAATAAAACAAATGTAATATACACCACAACTGAAATATTTTATTAAAGTAATGTGAATAAATGATGGTTAATAAAGTAATGGACAGTCACTACCATCATGGGACTTTTATTAATTGTTTTATTCTGTGTTGTTAAAGCATTCAACCGTCATAATGCATAGAGCATTTAATAATTTTTTTAAATAATCGAAACCGGAAACAGTGTTTATTTTTTTATAATCGTACCGAAACCGAATCAACCTAAAAAAACACTAATCACTCAGCACTATCATGATATTAATTTGAAAAATATTCAAGAACATATTCATGACACAGTGTAATAGTAGTGTAATGGTTTTTACATTTGTCCTTCATTTTAACACCATAGTCACGTCACACTGTAACAAGTATTTCCCCCATGGCTATTACAAGGCTTCATATTTCACACTGATGGTAGGAGCAATTCAGCGTGGTAATGAGATCATGATGATGTCTCTCTGTATAACGATTTCAACTTGTCAAAATAGGTTAGAGTTCAATAAAAAATAACACTGGCAGTTATAACGCTGTCCATTGAAGTTTTGTTCACTTCAAACTTTCACTGGAGTATGTTGAATAGATCCAATCGTAGTTCAATCCTACAACAGCATTGCATCTACAAATACCTGAGCTGTTTCTAATTCTCTCTAAAAGTCTTACCTGCACCCCATCTGCTGGCTTGGAGAACTCCCTTGCTGCAAACTGACAGTCTTGGATGTCAATAGGGAGGACCAGAGGAGGCGAAGCCAGCAGTTCTGGGTAAGGCCCTTGGCTCATGTTCCCTCCATCAGGACCCCCATCCTTGACCGACTCCTTCAGGTTGATCACAGAGTCCCTGATGTTGGTTATGATCTCATTGTTCTCTGCCAGTAGTCTTTCCAAGCGGTCAATCTTACCCTGCAGGATTGACAACTGGCCCTGGTCAAGGAGAAGAAGGAACGGAGGAAAACAAGTTCACTGGCTTATACAATACAGTATGCATCTAATTATTATGCAATAACCATTTATAAATGAGTTATAATGACAGTCAATAAACTAATTGTAAACCCTTAATAAAAGTAACCTTATTGTAGTGTTACCAAAATGAGGACCTATGGGTATGTCATCCATGGTGACAAATATAGCATACTATATTACACAAATCCAAAGTGTCAATGCATATAGGGTTAATTGTTAAGCCCTCAGTGAAAGGAAGTGGAAATGACGAATAAAGAGATAACAAGAGGTCAGTCACCTTCTTGTTGCACAAACATGTCCACTTTTACCAGTTTTCACTTAGTCTCTCCCAGACCTAGGGCAAGAGCACTAGGTGCAACATAGCTGTATAATAATAGGGTGTAGGTTATGCTGGAACATTGTTTTTGTTTGCCTAGAAATACTAGTTTTCACTCATTCAGAATGGAATTATGCGACACACAACCCCACGATATCAAGATCTCAATTTGCAAATGAACCTTGGACTTCCAAAAAGTAATACACTTGTGTTTATTGGAACCATGTCCGTTTCAAGACGATAACTCTATCATGGCTACAGTTGAAAATGTGTTTCCTGTCGGAAGTGAAAACTTTTAAACATTGCCTGGAACGTTGGTACATTGTAACTTTGTAAAAACGACTAGTAGGGCCTACTACTACATACAGCAGCCAGTCAACACCAGTTCTCTACACAGTAGCAGAGATAGGATTATGAGGAAATAAATTCATTCATATTTGTGCAACAATGTAAAAACAACGTTCCTCAGTTATAGGCTATATCTTACACATGCATGTCTGATCTAGACTGCAAAAATAGAGAAAATAATTCAGACTTACATTTTGCAATCTATCCCCACCGTTGTTTGGACTTTTGGTATGGTCTAATTGCAGGTGATCCAGCATCAGGTACAATGAGAAGACCACTACACAAAATATAGCACTGCCAAAAACAGTGAATTGCCGACTGAGCTTCATCATAATTTACAATCGATACTGCCAGGTGAATCGAAGGTGATCGCATTGAGTGACTGCAATATCCTATAGTCATGTAAATCACCCTCAGGGAATGGTCGATGTCTTGACTCCACCGTGAGGATCAGAAAAATGTTATGCAATTCCTAAAACGCTAAAAAAAAAGTTGTAATAAATTATTCTTTAGTGTGTTACGACGGAACTTACATAATTGTAGACATTAACTCCTATGTACAATAAACTTTAAAAAGCTGGATCTGTCACCCAAAGGTAGCCTGAACCACAGACTGCGTCCTCAGTCGCAAAGTTTTAGTGTGAAAGATTTGTGTGATTCAGCAGATCGACCCCGTCTCCTTCCTGTACTTGTTTTCTGTTCAAATTAAACGAGGAAGTGAAAAGCATATGGTATGAACGTGCGCCGCCTACCGACTCACAACTTTCATTTGGGGCGCACAGGTGAAGTCGTGCGTTACTGCGTTTTTAGTCTAGCGCACAATGTGTAAACGTTTCCAACTCCATAGTTTTGCGGTCATTGCCCTTATCCCACTATAGTATCTTCCAGAAAACACGTCTCCAATCATTCATTGGTGATGCCAAAAGTTGGTAATTAACTCTAGAAAACACTCATTTTGAGACCTCGTGAAAACAGCTGAATGGGCATGTTCAGCGCGCGCCACTGATGTTTCCAGGCTCTCCAAATGCCAGCTTCTACTTGATCTCGTTCATATTTTCAACATTTGGAATTGAAAACGAGTGTTCAAGATGTGACGCTATATCATCGCAAACGTCAGCAGCATCTGCGGAAATGGACCAGCTCCACCGACAAATGTTCATTTCTTACTCCATCCTGATTGTAAGATTGAGATAGGCAAACAAATTGAAAACGCCACAAATTTCAGTCAGCATGTATGGAATGAGAAAGGCGACACGAATGCGCAATTGATAGGCTATTTTCTTTGCGTTACCAGTTTCCTTTGTGAATGTAATCTCACAACTGAGAAACGTCTCCCTTCTCTCTCTCCAGGCCACAGTAGTAGACTAGTAGGGCACCGGAGAACCGAAACTTGCATACGCCTCCTCTGACATCATTTGGTGACGAAAAATAGACCATTATTTTGATCAAATTTAACAGGTAAAAAAAATATATGGATAGATTAATGGGGTAATGGAGTGTGAATTATCAACTATTTATATTAGGCTAATACGACTACTACTACTACTACTACTACTACTAATATTATTAATACTACTACTAGTATTAATAATAATATTAATAAAAACTTTTTTTATCAATAAACTGTAGTAATTATTTCTTCAAGGTCAAATCATCTAGATTTGGCAGTCAATCATTCATTCGTTTAAATAACTTCATTAATCTTGCTGCAATGTCAATATTATTTCTTCAAATATTTTCGAAGCTCATACATACAGTGCATTAGGAAAGTATTCAGACCCCTTGACTTTTTCCACATGTTGTTACGTTACAGCCTTATTCTAAAATTGATTAAATAGTTTTCCCCCTCATCAATCTACACACAATACCCCGTAATGACAAAGCAAAAACAGGTTTTTAGATTTTTTTGCAAATGTACAGAAATATAACATTTACGTAAGTATTCAGACCCTTTACTCAGTACTTTGTTGAAGCACCTTTGGCAGCGACTACAGCTTCAGGTGGGCTTGGCGCTCCTCCTTGCACTTGGCTAGGACCACCTATAGTGGCTTGGTGGGCACAATGCATCACTTGCAGCCTGCTGGAGATGGACAACTTCGATCTGATGCTGGGTCGTGTGTGTGACCACTGTGACCCCTGTTAACATTAGTGAGGCGAAGGCTTGTGTGTTTGTCTTTGTGTGTCTGTGTGGGCGTGTGTGTGGCAACTGCGTTTATACAGTTGAAGTCGGACGTTTACATACACCTTAGCCAAATACATTTAAACTCAGTTTTTCACAATTCCTGACATTTAATCCTAGTAAAAATTCCCTGTTTTAGGTCAGATAGGTTCACCACTTTATTTTAAGAATGTGAAATGTCAGAATAATAGTAGAGAGAATGATTTATACCAGCTTTTATTTCTTTCATCACATTCCCAGTGGGTCAGAAGTTTACATACACTCAATTAGTATTTGGTAGCATTGCCTTTAAATTGTTTAACTTGGGTCAAACGTTTTGGGTAGCCTTCCACAAGCTTCCCACAATAAGCTGGGTGAATTTTGGCCCATTTCTCCTTGTCAGAAGCTGATGTGGATGCGGTGTTGGAGTCAGGCGCAGGACACAGAAGCTTAGTCGAAAACGACTTTAATTGTCACAAAGACAAATACAAAATAACGGGCCTCAAAACACAGGAGGCGAGCGATTACGCAAACAGTGCGTAAAACACTAACAACTAGAAAACAAATAACATTCACCAGTGGACAGGCGGACAACAACACACAACTGCAAACAAAACCAAAGGAAACTTATAGGTGACATAATCAATACATAATACGAAACAGGTGCACCAACAAGACAAAACCAAACAAACATAGAGAACATCAAGCGGTAGCAGCTAGTACTCCGGGGACGACGAATGCCGAAGCCTGCCCGAACAAGGAGGAGGAGCAGTCTCGGCGGAATTCGTGACAGTACCCCCCCCCTTGACGACCCCGGCCTCGGGGACGGCCAGGAGGACGTGGAGCAGGGCGCGTAGGATGACTACGGTGGAACTCAGTCAGGAGGGATGGATCTAAAATGTCCCTCCTAGGCACCCAGCACCGTTCCTCCGGACCGTACCCCTCCCACTCCACGAGATATTGTAGACCCCCCATCCGACGTCTCGAATCCACGATGGACCGGACTGAGTACGCCGGAGCCCCCTCGATGTCCAGTGGGGGCGGAGGGGTCTCTCTTATCTCACTCTCCTGGAGTGGACCAGCTACCACCGGCCTGAGGAGAGACACATGGAACGAGGGGTTAATGTGATAGTCATTAGGCAGTTTCAACTTGTAACACACCTCGTTCAATCTCCTCAGGACTTTAAATGGCCCCACAAACCGCTGGCCAAGCTTCCGGCAGGGCAGGCAAAGTGGCAGGTTTCGAGTCGAGAGCCAGACTCGATCTCCAGGGGCGTATACTGGACCCTCACTGCGGTGGAGATCGGCGCTCGCCTTCTGCCTGCGGATGGCCCGCTGCAGATGTACGTGTGCAGCGTTCCACGTCTCCTCCGAGCGCCGAAACCACTCATCCACCGCAGGAGCCTCGATCTGGCTCTGATGCCATGGTGCCAGAACCGGCTGATACCCTAACACGCACTGAAAAGGGGTCAGGTTAGTAGAGGAGTGGCGAAGAGAGTTCTGAGCCATCTCTGCCCAGGGGATATACCCCGACCACTCCTCCGGCCGGCCCTGGCAATAGGATCTCAGAAACCTACCCACATCCTGGTTCACTCTCTCCACCTGCCCATTACTCTCAGGGTGGTAACCCGAGGTAAGGCTAACCGAGACCCCCAAGCATTCCATGAACGCCCTCCAGACTCTAGAGGTGAATTGGGGACCCCGATCAGACACTATATCCTCGGGAACCCCGTAGTGCCGGAAGACGTGGGTGAACAAAGCCTCAGCGGTCTGTAGGGAAGTAGGGAGACCCGGCATTGGAATGAGACGACAGGCCTTAGAGAACCGATCCACAACAACCAGAATAGTGGTATTCCCCTGAGAGGGGGGAAGGTCCGTGACAAAGTCCACCGAGAGGTGAGACCACGGCCGTTGTGGAACGGGCAGGGGTTGTAACTTCCCCCTGGGCAGGTGTCTAGGCGCCTTACACTGAGCGCACACCGAGCAGGAGGAGACATAAACCCTCACGTCCCTAGCCAAAGTTGGCCACCAGTACTTAACACTAAGGCAGTGCACCGTCCGGCCAATACCTGGATGTCCAGAGGAGGGTGACGTATTAACCCAATAAATGAGACGATCACGGACCTCGAGCGGCACGTACGTCCGACCCACTGGACACTCTGGGGGAGTAGGGTCGGTGCGTAACGCCCGCTCAATTTCCGCATCGACCTCCCATACCACCGGTGCCACCAGACAAGACTCCGGCAGTATGGGAGTGGGCTCAATGGACCTCTCCTCTGTGTCATACCGCCGGGACAGGGCGTCTGCCTTACCGTTCTGGGACCCTGGGATGTAAGTGATCTTAAAAACGAACCGGGTCAGAAACATGTTCCATCTAGCCTGACGAGGGTTCAATCTCCTAGCTGCCCGGATGTACTCCAGGTTACGATGGTCAGTCAGAATGAGAAAAGGGTGTTGAGCCCCCTCAAGCCAATGCCTCCACACCTTTAGGGCTTGAACCACGGCTAACAGCTCCCTGTCCCCTACGTCATAATTACGTTCCGCCGGGCTGAGCTTTTTAGAATAAAAAGCACAGGGCCGGAGCTTAGGAGGCGTGCCGGAGCGTTGCGACAGTACTGCCCCAATACCGGCCTCAGACGCGTCCACCTCTACCTGGAACGCTAAAGCGGGGTCCGGGTGCGCCAGCACCGGAGCCGAAGTGAACAGGTCCTTCAGTTTACAAAACGCCCTGTCCGCTTCAACCGACCACTGCAAACGCACCGGGCCCCCCTTCAGCAGGGAAGTAATGGGTGCTGCCACCTGTCCAAAACCCCGGATAAACCTCCGGTAGTAATTGGCAAAACCCCAAAACTGCTGCACCTCTTTAACAGTGGTTGGGGTTTGCAAGTTACGCACGGCTGACACACGGTCAATCTCCATCTTCACCCCTGACGCGGACAACCGATGACCCAAGAAGGAGATGGACTCCTGGAAAAACAGACATTTCTCTGCCTTGACATACAAGTCATGCTCCAACAGCCTACCCAACACTCGGCGCACCAGGGCTACATGTTCGGCTCGTGTAGCAGAGTACACTAGGATGTCGTCAATGTACACTACCACTCCCTGCCCATGCAGGTCCCGGAAGATCTCGTCCACAAATGATTGGAAGACTGAAGGAGCATTCATTAA